CCCCACCCAAAAAAGCCTATGAAAGGTACCAGAGGCATCTCATGGGGCCCCTTCTGACCCCGGGCCCTCGGGCGGTGCCGAGTTCCCAAATGGTCAGTTCGCCCCAGATCCAGTTCAACCATGTTACATGTTCCCAAAGGTGAGCTTGTCCTTTAAAGCTGTCAGCTGTTTGGCCTCTAGTGGCTCTGATTTTAGGCACAGTGCCGAGAATAGAGAGCAACTGAGCATGTGCAGAGCAGGGTGAGGCCGTGTATTACTGGACTGTAAACAGTATAGGCACTTGTTTCTAATGTTTTATACCTGCAAAAGGGGCCAGCCTGAAGTGATCTAGCAGCACCTGAGTTCCTGACTAAAGTTCCACTTTAAGTGAGACTCCCGAAATCTTTTACTATAGGAAACAATAATGGTGGAATAATAATGGTGGTGCAATAATGGAACAAGGGTCTTTGTTCTTTTTAAAATGTTTTTAATACTTAATATTTTTCATGGTCCTAATAAGCATTTTGTATGTATCTTTGTATCTTTGGTAGTATTTATATCAATAGCTGTTGATGGTGGGGTCCTTTAGTGTGTGTACCAGGTATCATACCTGACCACAGGTAAAGGAACTTACATGGTCTGCAGGTTGACTCTAGTGCTTTCACTCCTCAGACACAATCTGAGCCGTTCTCCGGCCTCGGATGATACACTTGTTCTATTCTGTAAATAACGGAAGGGGAGGAGAGGAAGGACCCGTGTTTATCTGTCTTCTTCATGAGATCTGTCTGACAATGAAATGGCCTTCATTGACAAAGATGCTGAAGCAGCGCTTTCCCCTCTCGCTGTTGTCTTTCGTCACCTCCATGTCTTTATGGACCTTGCTTTGTGCACTGGTGCGCAGTCATGTTGGAACAGGAAGGGGCCATCCCCAAACTCCTCCCACAAAGTTGGGAGCATGAAATTGTCCAAAATATCGCCTTAAGAGTTCCCTTCACTAGAACTAGGGGGCCAAGCCCAACCCCTGAAAAACAACCCCACTCCATAATCCCTCCTCCACCAAACTTCACACTTGGCACAATGCAGTCAGGCAAGTACCATTCTCCTGGCAACTGCCAAACCCAGACATGTCCATCGGATTGCCAGACGGAGAAGCGTGATTGGTCTCTCCAGAGAACACTTCTCCTCTGCTCTAGAGTCCAGTGGCGGCGTGCTTTACACCATGGCATCCGACGCTTTGCATTGCACTTGGTGACGGAAGGCTTGGATGCAGCTGCTCGGCCATGGAAACCCATTCCATGAAGCTCTCTACGCACTGTTGTTGGGCTCATCTGAAGGCCACACCAAGTTTGGAGGTCTTTAGCTATTGACTCTGCAGACAGTTGGTGACTTCTGCGCACTGTGCGCTTCAGCATGCGCTGACCCCGCCCTGTCATGTGATGTGGCCTACCACTTGGTGGCTGAGTGGCTGTTGTTCCCAGTTGCTTCCACTTTGTTATAATCCCACTAACAGTTGAGCGTGGAATATTTAGTAGCCAGGAAATGTCACGGATGGACTTATTGCCCAGGTGGCCACCTATCACGGGACCACGCTTGGAGTCACTGAGCTCCTGAGAGCGACCCATTCTTTCACCAATGTTTGTAGAAGCCGTCTGCATGCCTAGGGGCTTGATCTTATAAATAATAGAAGGGGAGGAGAGGAAGGACCCGCGTGTTCTTCTTCATGAGATCTGTCTGCTGAAGAATCCACAACATCTGAGGAAATGGCCTTCATTGACAAAGATGCTGAAGCAGCGCTTTCCCCTCTCTCAGTCGTCTTTCATCATCTCTCGTGTTTACAATTTGTGGTCATGTCTCTGGCCGTATCTGTTGCACAATTATGAGGAATTTCCCACTGGTCTTTGGTCTGGTTAATTTAAAATGTGGTTGCAAAGGCTGAAGGTTTTTTACCTTCGTGCTTTCTATGCCCCCAACCTGAGCCTGATCTCGATCCAGCAATGTGCACAAGAGCAGTGGCTTCCTCGGTTCTCTCCTCAGCCATTGGCTCCCATAGCTGTCATTCACAGCCAGTGAGGAGGGGGCTGAGCAGTGCTCTGTGTGTCTATGGACACATTGAGCCAGCTCAGGAGTGAGCATGCACAAGTAGTCCTATAGCAAGCGGCTTGCTATGGGGGCAATCAGCAGTGGGGAGGAGCCAGGAGAGTCAGCGGGGGGACCCGAGAAGAGGAGGATCAGGGCTGCTCTGTGCAAAACCATTACAAATATTGTTACGCACGGTGCACCTACATCCCAAAAAGTTGTAGAGAAGAAAGAGAAAAAAAAAAAAATAAGGACTTCCCCATATCAATCCAATATAAATAGTAGAGGAAAGTGGAAAAGTAGTGCTGGACCCGTAGGATAATCTCACTGGTATTGGTATTATAAAGTATTGATGTGAATGTAATCAGGGCTGGGACAAGGGGTGGGCGGGAGGAGTGGGAGACCCTCTAGTGCATTTCACTTGGTCAAGGACTCATAGAGTAGTGACTTCCATCATGGGTAAGCTCCTGACCAAGTGAAATGCGTTAGAGGGTCTGTACCTTAGATGGGTCTGTACCTTAGAGGGGTCTGTACCTTAGATGGTCTGTACCTTAGATGGGTCTGTACCTTAGAAGTGTCTGTACCTTAGAGGGGTCTGTACCTTAGAAGTGTCTGTACCTTAGAGGGGTCTGTACCTTAGAGGGGTCTGTACCTTAGAAGTGTCTGTACCTTAGAGGGGTCTGTACCTTAGATGGGTCTGTACCTTAGAGGGGTCTGTACCTTTAGAGGGGTCTGTACCTTAGAAGTGTCTGTACCTTAGAGGGGTCTGTACCTTCGATGCGTCTGTACCTTAGATGGGTCTGTACTTTAGAGGGGTCTGTACCTTAGATGGGTCTGTACTTTAGAGGGGTCTGTACCTTAGATGGTCTGTACCTTGGAAGCGTCTGTACCTTAGAGGGGTCTGTACCTTAGATGGTCTGTACCTTAGATGGGTCTGTACCTTGGAGGGGTCTGTACCTTAGATGGTCTGTACCTTAGAGGGGTCTGTACCTTAGAGGGGTCTGTACCTTAGATGGTCTGTACCTTAGATGGGTCTGTACCTTGGAGGGGTCTGTACCTTAGATGGTCTGTACCTTAGATGGTCTGTACCTTGGAAGGGTCTGTAAATTAGAGGGGTCTGTACCTTAGAAGGGTCTGTACCTTAGAGGGGGGTCTGTATCTTAGATGGTCTGTACCTTAGAGGGGTCTGTAACTTACAGGGGGGACAAGGGGTGGGCAGGAAGGGCGTCTGCCCTGGGTGCAATCGTTTACTGCAGGTATGGGGGCACCTTCCTTCTGTTACAAGGCAGACAGGAGTGATTTTGACAGGCGAGTGACTGCTGGGCATAGATTCTCCCTGACCATGCACCTTCTGAATGGGGATCGCAGTTTGGCATCTTTGCCCTGGGCGGTGGATGACCTTGTCCCAACACTGGATGTAATCGATCTGGTTCTTGGGCAGGCAGCTTCTACACCCCAGAGGATCTCCACAATCCAAAAAGCATCCAACGCGTTTCAGCGATCCAAGAGCATCCCCTTCATCAGGACTAGTGTTCAGTGTGGGGCACACTGGCTTGAATGGGGAATTCTCCAAGATTAAGAGAGACGGGAAAAGTGAGAGCGGCGATATGGGGAAAGGAAATTCACAGTACTGGGAGCTTCCCATTGCGATCAGAAAGGCGAATATTGTTACACAGAGCCCACCAACATCCAAAAGAGTTTTTCCAAAGCAATGAAATGTGACAGAAACCAGGCCCACGGAAGCCAAAGCTGCCAATTTTGGGTTCAGCTTCACCAGCCTCTTCTGACTTCCCTGAGCCCTGAGGAAGGGAAAGTGCAAAACCTCCACTGAAACGTGTTTTCTCATTTCTCTACAAAGGCTCCAAAGAATGGATGAGGAACTTCTCACCATAATAAAAACTTGAGGACAATTCATTGTGTCACCCAACAAACAGATTACTCCATCTAATTCACATCAGGACCGGAAAGGCAAATATTGTTACACGCAGCCCACCTACATCCCAAAAAGTTGTGGAGATCAAAGGGTCTGTACCTTAGATGGAGTGGTCAGTTTGGATGACACAGTGAATTGTTACGAGGCTTTTAATATGGTGAATGGTTCTTCTTCCTTCTTTGGAGGCTTTCCAGAGCTAACAGCCAATGGCTACAAGAATCGGTGGCAGACTTGCCAGCTGACTCATTTAAAGGGATAGGCCCTCTTTCTCAGAGCACTGAAGAAGAGGGCTTGTCCCTTGAAACCTGTCAGCTGTTTAGAAGAAGAAGGCTTTCCCTTGAAACGCATCAGGGTCTTAAAAAGAGGGCTTGTCCCTTGAAACCGGTCATCTGCTCTGAAGAAGAGAAGCTTGTCCCTTGAAACATGTCAGAAGTTCTGAAGAAAAGGGATTGACATAGCTTGGCTTGAACTTCAGAAAGTCGATGAAGTCGTTGTCACGGGGAGTGTGTTGATCTTAGGGCGAGGAAATAACGGACACATCCCGCAGCAACCTTCAGCATTTTTACAAGACATAAATTGTCCCTTGAAACGCATCAGGGAATCTTAAAAAAGGGCTACTGTCCCTTGAAACCTGTGAGGTCCCTTGAAACCTCCTCTGGAAGTCCCCCGCCGCCGCTGACATGCTCCTCCTTGAACTTCAGAAAGTCCCGTTCTAAGTCGTTGACGGGGAGTGTGTTGATCTTAGGGCGATAACGGACACATCACGCAGCTTTTACATTTATCCAAACACTCCCTCTGACGCAGGATTTAGCCTGTGAGACTGACAGTAGCGGAAACCTATGGTCCCTGCTACCTCGTGCTGTGTAAAAGCAGGAAGTAAGGGGAGCTGCGCTGCAGGCAGGATGGCGCCGGAGCCAGGTAAGTGTTCAGGGATGGTGGTGAGCAGATGCCGGTAGTGAGGCATTTGAAAACCCTTTTAGAACTGCTTTCAATATTCGATGTCTCTTTTCAGATGGAGTATTTTCTGAAGAAACTGGCGGAGGCGATGGGCAGCGGCTGGCAGCAGGCTCTGTTTGAAGACTATAAAATCGGGCTCCACAATAAGCCGAGTGGTCTGTCCGTCTGGGAGCTCATCGATCTGATTGGAAGCGGGCAGTTCAGTAAAGGCACCGACTTCACCACCGTGTCCATGGCCATCAACGAAGTCTTCAGTGAGCTCGTGCTCGATGTTCTCAAACAGGTAAGGAAACTCAACTATATTTTAGACCCACTGATGTCATCACTGTGTCTCTGTGCTTCTCTATGCAATGCGGCCAGATCATGGCTGGTGGGAGGGGCCGGCAGGGGTGCTGTACATAGCTTTCTGAACACATCGCAGCAGCCTGCCTCAGCACTCCTCTCAAGAGCCCTCAGTCCTGATGCAAGCAGTAGACGGGTGCAAAACGAAAACTTTTGTTTAGTTTAATTGCGGATCAATTTGTTAAGTTACTAATTTTGGTTTATTTATTCATTTTCGACCAGATTTTAAATTTTTCCAGTTGATTCAAACTATTTGAATCGAGTTCGAATTGAAAATTTTGAATCGATCCAAATTCATTCAGCTGGTTCTATTCCATTTGAAATTCGAAGTTCGGAAGAGTACAGGAGATGACCAGAGACTGCGGACACAGTACAGGAGATGGTCAGAGACTGCGGACACAGTACAGGAGATGACCGGAGACTGCAGACATGGTACAGGAGATGACCAGAGACTGCGGACATAGTACAGGAGATGACCAGAGACTGCGGACACAGTACAGGAGATGATCAGAGACTGCAGACACAGTACAGGAGATGGTCAGAGACTGCGGACACAGTACAGGAGATGATCAGAGACTGCAGACATAGTACAGGAGATGACCAGAGACTGCGGACAGTACAGGAGATGACCAGAGACTGCGGACACAGTACAGGAGATGACCAGAGACTGCGGACATAGTACAGGGGATGACCAGAGACTGCGGACATAGTACAGGAGATGACCAGAGACTGCGGATAGTACAGGAGATGACCAGAGACTGCGGACATAGTACAGGGGATGACTGCTGACCTTTGGGGAGGGGGGGGAGCGGGTGCCTGAATTTGACAGATACCCGCTCCCACTTCCGCGAAGTTGTTCTTTCATCTTACCTGTTCCTCCTCTATCCAGCCGCCCGCTGTCTTCCCGGCTTCTGTAATGGCGCTCGGCATGACAGCCGGGTGCCCAGTGCGCATGAGCGAGAAGCACTTGCGCTTTGTGATTGGTCCGGCGGCTTCTGGGATCTGTCATGTGTCTCAGGTGCCGCCTTACCATTCACAAAAAGCACCGCTTCCTGCGCATGCGCACTTGGCACCCGGCTGTCATGCCCACACTACAGGAGCCGGGAAGACAGCGCCGCTGGATAGAGGAACAGGTAAGATGAAAGAACAACTCCACGGAAGTGGGAGCGGGTATCTGTCAAATTCAGGTACCCGCTCCCCCCCCTCCCCAAAGGTCAGCAGTCATCTCTATAAGGTCCCGCTGTAGAGCTGAGCGGCCGGCCAGTATTCTGACACGGCGGCAGTGGAAATATTGGACCGGCCGCTCCATATTCGCTCCATACGACGCACTGACATTTTCCCCCCTTTTTTTGGGGGAAAAAAGTGCGTCTTATGGAGTGAAAAATACGGTATATTTTTTTCTATTTTATTCTGTTCTGTTTTACTCTGTTCTATTCAAATCTATTATATTCTCTTCTATTCTCTTCCTTTATTCTCTATTCTATTCTTTTATAATCTATTTTGAAAAATTCAAATTTTTGAAGACAGCTATATTCTTTCTATTTTATTCTATTCTGTTTTTTATTTTCTATTCTATTTTATTCTACTTTTTTTTTCTCTATTCTATTCTTCTCTGATCGATGTTTATAAACAATGTTATTTTGTATCTCTTGTTCAGAACACTGTGTCACATGGTCTCTGCTGTGCAGCAGCTATTACAACTTCTGTATTTACAGAGCGACTCCTGGTTGTCATTTTGACAGCCAGGACTTGCCTGCGACTGAACAGTGGGATAGAAGGACAGGATGTGCCACTCAGGCTCTGTGTACTTGGAGTAAGTTCTTCGAGTGTCCACAGGTAGTTCGTTCATATTCGTCCTGTCAGTGTACTCAAGACTGACAGCATTAAACTGAGGCGCAGGGACGGACTGACCATTTGGGCACTCAGGCACTGCCTGAGGGCCCAGGATCAGTAGAGGGCCCCATGACATGCCTCTGGTACCTTTCATAGACTTTTTTGGGTGTCGTTTGAGTGTGGGCGGGGCCACAGGGGCCCCATGATCCCCTATCGCTCAGGGGCCCCATGAGTTGTCAGTCCGCCCCTGCTGAGGTGACAATCACAGAGCCGTCCTTATATACAGTGGGGATCGAAAGTTTGGGCACCCCAGCTAAAAATTTGTATTAATGTGCATAAAGAAGCCAAGGAAAGATGGAAAAAATCTCCAAAAGGCATCAAATTACAGATTAGACATTCTTATAATATGTCAACAAAAGTTAGATTTTATTTCCATCATTTACACTTTCAAAATAACAGAAAACAAAAAAATGGTGTCTGCAAAAGTTTGGGCCCCCTGCAGAATTTATAGCATGCACTGCCCCCCTTTGCCAAGCTGAGACCTGCCAGTGTCATGGATTGTTCTCAATCATCGTCTGGGAAGACCAGGTGATGTCAATCTCAAAGGTTTTAAATGCCCAGACTCCTCTGACCTTGCCCCAACAATCAGCACCATGGGTTCTTCTAAGCAGTTGTCTAGAAAACTGAAACTGAAAATAGTTGACGCTCACAAAGCTGGAGAAGGCTATAGGAAGATAGCAAAGCGTTTTCAGATGTCAATATCCTCTGTTCGGAATGTAATTAAGAAATGGCAGTCATCAGGAACAGTGGACGTTAAAGCAAGATCTGGAAGACCAAGAAAAAATATCAGACAGAACAGCTCGCAGGATTGTGAGAAAAAACAATTCAAAACCCACGTTTGACTGCACGATCCCTCCAGAAAGATCTGGCAGACACTGGAGTTGTGGTCACTATTCCACTATAAAGAGATACTTGTACAAATATGGTCTTCATGGAAGAGTCATCAGAAGAAAAGCTCTTCTACGTCCTCACCACAAAAATCATCGTTTGAACTTTGCAAATGAACATATAGACAAGCCTGATGCATTTTGGAAACAAGTTCTGTGGACCGATGAGGTTAAAATTGAACTTTTTGGACCGAAATGAGCAAAGGTACGTTTGGAGAAGAAGGGGCACAGAATTGAATGAAAAGAACCTCTGTCCAACTGTTAAGCATGGGGTTGGATCAATCATTGCTTTGGGGTTGTGTTGCAGCCAGTGGCACAGGGAACATCTCACGAGTAGAAGGAAAAATGGATTCAATAAAATTTCAGCAAATTTTGGATGGTAACTTGATGCCATCAGTGAAAAAGCTGAAGTTAAAGAGAGGATGGCTTCTACAAATAGATAATGATCCTAAACACACCTCGAAATCCACGGGGGATTACATCAAGAGGCGTAAACTGAAGATTTTGCCGTGGCCTTCACAATCTCCTGACCTCAACATCATTGAAAATCTATGGATAGACCTTAAAAGACAGACAGCCCAGAAATCTCAAAGAACTGGAAGACTTTTGTAAGGAAGAATGGGCAAAGATACCTCAAACAAGAATTGAAAGACTCTTGGCTGGCTACAAAAAGCGTTTACAAGCTGTGATACTTGCCAAAGGGGGCAGTACAAGATATTAACTCTGCAGGGGGCCCAAACTTTTGCAGACGCCATTTTTTTGTTTTCTGTTATTTTGAAAGTGTAAATGATGGAAATAAAATCTAACTTTTGTTGACATATTATAAGAATGTCTAATCTGTAATTTGATGCCTTTTGGAGATTTTTCCATCTTTCCTTGGCTTCTTTATGCACATTAATACACATTTTTAGTTGGGGGTGCCCAAACTTTCGATCCCCACTGTATTTGCTGAAATTTCTCGTTTTCTTTGCTCTGATTCTCCTGCCCGGGATGGTGGGTGCTAAAGCCATGTTGGTTGTCTCTGCAGGGCTATCTGTGGAAGAAAGGCCACAAGAGGAAAAACTGGACGGAGCGCTGGTTCGTCCTGAAACCGAATGTCCTGACCTATTACGTCAGCGAGGATCTGAAGGACAAAAAGGGAGACGTCATCCTGGATTCAAACTGCTGCTGTGGAGGTAATACGTCCGTCACCTTTCCCTTCAAAACAGCACTGCAGAAAATAACAAGGAAGGCATGGACAGAGATGAAAAACATAAGCACACTCCTACCTCCCCTACACTACTAGACATACGTGTTTATTTTTGTGTGTCCCTGTTAGTAAATACAGGTAAATCTCCTCTGTAGGGGACACAGCCAGCAAAAAAAACCTCAAAAAACAACAACAACAACAAACACCGGGGCCATAATGCTTCCCCTTGCCAAAAAACACCTTTTGGCTTTTTGTTATATACTTATGCCGGCCATAGACGGGTCGAGGCCAAAAAAAAAAAAATCGGCTGATTTTCGCACCGTTAGTTTGTTAATTGGTCGGCCCGTTTTTCGGTATTTTGGCACTTTTTTTATTGGTAAAATTGGAAAAAAAAACGGGCGATTTTGGCAATCGGACGATTTTCCCGGCAATGATGGGCAAATTGGCCAATCGTTTTACCGATATAAAATCTGCGCATGAGCCGTGACCTGGAAGAAGGAGAAGGAGAAGAAAAGGAAGAAGGAGAAGAAAAAGAAGAAGAAGAAGAAAAAGAAAAGAAGAAGAAAAAGAGAGAGAAAAAGAAGAATTCCAGTCCGCTATTATATTGGACATGAAAGTCTTGCGGTTGCAACAATGTATCTATTTGTATGCAAATAAAAACATCTGTATCCGAAATGGATACAAATGGATACATTGTTGCAACCGCAATACTTTTATGTCAAATAATAGCGGAGCTCTCTGCAGGGACAGAAGTAATTAAATGCCGGCCATAGACGGGATGAAAATCGGCCAATTTTATTTACCGTTGGTGGTAACGTCGGCCTATTGAATGACCGATTTTTCGTTTTTTTTTTTTTCAAAAAAAAAATCGGCCGGTTTTCGACCCGTCTATGGCCGGCATTAAGGGCCCATTTACACTCCATGTGTTCAGGTGCTTTATTTTTTTGCATCCAAAACGCACAGAAAGTCGGCGATATGGTTGTCTGTGTCATAGTTCACATCAGGGCTTGGAGTTCCGGATGCAGAAAAAAAAAAGTAGAGCGGCTTGCATTTTTTCTGCACAGAACTGCACTGGAATGCAGTAAAACGCACCAAAAACGCACTGGAATGCATATGTCCCTATTTAAATTGAAAAAGAGAGGGGGGGGGAAATTAACCGGAATGCGTCAAAAATGCTACAAAAACATACTGGAATGCGTCAAAAACGCGCATGTGGACTGCAGTTCTATAGTGTGAATCGGCCCTGAAGATTACATTACACCGAGGAATTGTTAAGGGAAATATTTAGGGGTCTTTTTATAAAGCGTCTTCCTGCCGACTGGACAAATGTTCCCGTATTACCTGTAATAGATTCATTGCTATGGTCATCAGCACCATCTAGTGGCAAAAATGCGGCATGTTTTCTCATTGATGTTTTTCAGAAAATGATACATAGAGATCATATCCCCCCCTTATGTATTATACATGGAGATCATATCCCCCCCATATGTATTATACATGGAGATCATATCCCCCTTATGTATTATACATGGAGATCATATCCCCTCTTATGTATTTATACATGGAGATCATATCCCCCCTTATGTATTATACATGGTGATCATATCCCCCCCATATGTATTATACATGGAGATCATATCCCCCCTTATGTATTATACATGGAGATCATATCCCCCCTTATGTATTATACATGGAGATCATTCCCCCCTATGTATTATACATGGAGATCATATCCCCCCTTATGTATTATACATGGAGATCATATCCCCCCTCATGTATTATACATGGAGATCATATCCCCCCTTATGTATTATACATGGAGATCATATCCCCCCTTATGTATTATACATGGAGATCATATCCCCCCTTATGTATTATACATGGAGATCATATCCCCCCTTATGTATTATACATGGAGATCATATCCCCCCTTATGTATTATACATGGAGATCATATCCCCCCTTATGTATTATACATGGAGATCATATCCCCCCTCATGTATTATACATGGAGATCATATCCCCCCTTTATGTATTTATACATGGAGATCATATCCCCCCTTATGTATTATACATGGAGATCATATCCCCCTTATGTATTATACATGGAGATCATATCCCCCCTTATGTATTTATACATGGAGATCATATCCCCCCTCATGTATTATACACGGAGATCATATCCCCCCTTATGTATTATACATGGAGATCATATCCCCCCCGTATGTATTATACACGGAGATCATCATCCCCCCCTTATGTATTATACATGGAGATCATATCCCCCCTTATGTATTATACATGGATATCATATCCCCCCTTATGTATTATACATGGAGATCATATCCCCCTTATGTATTATACATGGAGATCATATCCCCCCTTATGTATTATACATGGAGATCATATCCCCCTTATGTATTATACATGGAGATCATATCCCCCCTTATGTATTATACATGGAGATCACATCCCCCCCTTATGTATTATACATGGAGATCATATCCCCCCTTATGTATTATACATGGAGATCATATCCCCCTTATGTATTATACATGGAGATCATATCCCCCTTATGTATTATACATGGAGATCATATCCCCCGTTATGTATTATACATGGAGAGCATATCCCCCCCTTATGTATTATACATGGAGATCATATCCCCCTTATGTATTATACATGGAGATCATATCCCCCCTTATGTATTACACATGGAGATCATATCCCCCCCTTATGTATTATACATGGAGAGCATATCCCCCTTATGTATTATACATGGAGATCATATCCCCCTTATGTATTATAACTGGAGATCATATCCCCCCTTATGTATTTATACATGGAGATTATATCCCCCTTATATGTATTATATATGGAGATCATATCCCCCTTATGTTTTATACACGAAGATCATATCCCCCTTATGTATTATACATGGAGATCATATCCCCCTTATGTATTATACATGGAGATCATATCCCCCCTTATGTATTATACATGGAGATCATATCCCCCTTATGTATTATACATGGAGATCATATCCCCCCTTATGTATTATACATGGAGATCATACCCCCTCCCCCCTTATGTTATTATACATGGAGATCATATCCCCCTTATGTATTATACACGGAGATCATATCCCCCCTTATGTATTATACATTGGAGATCATATCCCCCCTTATGTATTATACATGGAGATCATATCCCCCCTTATGTATTATACATGGAATCATATCCCCCCCCTTATGTATTATACATGGAGATCATATCCCCCCTTATGTATTATACACATGGAGATCATATCCCCCTTATGTATTATACATGGAGATCATATCCCCCCTTATGTATTATACATGGAGATCATATCCCCCCCCCCCCTTATGTATTATACATGGTGATCATATCCCCCCCTTATGTATTATACATGGAGATCATATCCCCCCTTATGTATTATACATGGGAGATCATATCCCCCTTATGTATTATACATGGTGATCATATCCCCCTTATGTATTATACATGGAGATCATATCCCCCTTATGTATTATACATGGTGATCATATCCCCCTTATGTATTATACATGGAGATCATATCCCCCCTTATGTATTATACATGGTGATCATATCCCCCCTTATGTATTATACATGGAGATCATATTTCCCCCCTTATGTATTATACATGGTGATCATATCCCCCCCCTTATGTATTATACATGGAGATCATATCCCCCTTATGTATTATACATGGAGATCATATCCCCCCTTATGTATTATACATGGAGATCATATCCCCCCTTATGTATTTTATACATGGAGATCATATCCCCCCTTATGTATTATACATGGAGATCATATCCCCCCCTTATGTATTATACATACATGGAGATCATATCCCCCTTATGTATTATACATGGAGATCATATCCCCCCTTATGTATTATACATGGAGATCATATCCCCCTTATGTATTATACATGGAGATCATATCCCCCCTTATGTATTATACATGGAGATCATATCCCCCCTTATGTATTATACATGGTGATCATATCCCCCTTATGTATTATACATGGAGATCATATCCCCCCTTATGTATTATACATGGAGATCATATCCCCCCCTTATGTATTATACATGGAGATCATATCCCCCCTTATGTATTATACATGGAGATCATATCCCCCCTTATGTATTATACATGGTGATCATATCCCCCCTTATGTATTATACATGGAGATCATATCCCCCCTTATGTATTATACATGGTGATCATTCCCATCCCCCCCTTATGTATTATAACATGGAGATCATATCCCCCCTTATGTATTATACATGGAGATCATATCCCCCCTTATGTATTATACATGGTGATCATTTCCCCCCTTATGTAATATACATGGATATCATTTCCCCCCTTATGTATTATACATGGATATCATATCCCCCCCTTATGTATTATACATGGAGATCATATCCCCCCCTTATGTATTATACATGGAGATCATATCCCCCCTTATGTATTATACATGGAGATCATATCCCCCCTTATGTATTATACATGGAGATCATATCCCCCCCTTATGTATTATACATGGAGATCATATCCCCCCTTATGTATTATACATGGAGATCATATCCCCCCTTATGTATTATACATGGAGATCATATCCCCCCTTATGTATTATACATGGAGATCATATCCCCCCTTATGTATTATACATGGAGATCATATCCCCCCCTTATGTATTATACATGGAGATCATATCCCCCTTATGTATGTATTATACATGGAGATCATATCCCCCCTTATGTATTATACATGGAGATCATATCCCCCCTTTTGTATTATACATGGAGATCATATCCCCCTCCTTATGTATTATACATGGAGATCATATCCCCTCCTTATGTATTATACATGGTGATCATTTCCCCCCCTTATGTATTATACATGGAGATCATATCCCCCCCTTATGTATTATACATGGAGATCATATCCCCCCTTATGTAATATACATGGAGATCATATCCCCCCTTATGTATTATACATGGAGATCATATCCCCCCTTATGTATTATACATGGAGATCATATCCCCCCTTATGTATTATACATGGAGATCATATCCCCCCTTATGTATTATACATGGAGATCATATCCCCTCCTTATGTATTATACATGGTGATCATTTCCCCCCCTTATGTATTATACATGGAGATCATATCCCCCCTTATGTATTATACATGGAGATCATATCCCCCCCTTATGTATTATACATGGAGATCATATCCCCTCCTTATGTATTATACATGGAGATCATATCCCCCCTTAATCTCCTCTTCTCAAGAGAGAATAAATTTAGTTCCTCCATCACAAACCCCGGAATTTAATTATTTCTTACAATTTTGAGAAGGTGCCAATAATTTTGTCCATTTTGGGTGGAATGGGTCAGACTTTACTTTTTTGTTTCTTCCACTTTTTTCTGTCATATCAATACAAACACAAGAAATAAACATGAGAACGCCGAAACATTTGTCATTGCAGCAACTTTCTGGGTGAAGTGCTGCGATATCTGACAGAAATGCCGGTGCAGGGGGGGCTGGGGGGACGACAAGAGTTTTTGGCCATGGCTGTATAGATATAAAATAGCTTTTTATTCCCTGACGGCCTCCATTGGATGGTTGTTGCTGCTCCTATATCAGGTCCTCAGTCACCAAATACACATACAGGAATCAGCAGCAGAGGGCGCCACCATCTAAGTGTTACTCTATATATCAGGACACTTGTCTATAGATACTTGGTTGGTGGCGCCCTCTGCTGCTTGTCTCTGTGTTCTGCTGCCTCCTCATAGGCTGCAGTTGCAGTGTGGTTGCAGCGCTGCTTCTTGTCAATGGAGACCAACGGTGCGCTCTGTCTTTGTGAATAGGTCATAACCGAATGTCCTCGGGCTATTGGATGGACTTTTGTCTTTTTTATTCAGCCAGGACTAACTATGTAACTATACTTCCTGTACAGGTCAATTGTTATTTATTTATAAAGAGCGGAGAATATTGCAGTATGACATCGGAAATACATATTTATCTGTCGTGATCCTCCATGCCATCTAGTGGCCATAATGGGGTATTTTCCAAAGTCATTCTTTTTTTTTCTTTTTTTTATGACCTATAGAGGAACATTTGATTTGGTACATTCATGGGCAATGGATGTACTGGATAAAAATCTATCTGAATGTGTGTGTATATATATATTCCCAAAAGGAGTGTGGGGGCACATACTCAAGGTACTGTACATAATGGCAAGGGGTGCTGGAGGGTCTATTGATGCTGGAGGGATCTCTTTTTACGTGGCAGTCTTTTTGCTGCTGGAGAGGTCTATTGTTGCTGATGGGGATCTGTTGTTGCTGGAGGGGGGCTTACTTTGCTGGGGAAGGTCAATTATTGCTGGAAGGGATCTACTATTGAGGGAAGGGTCTATTGATGCTGACTGCTGGGGGATCTATTGTTGCTGGAGGGGGATCTCTTTTTACATGGCAGTCTATTGCTTCTGGGAGGTTTATTGCTGATGGGGATCTGTTGTTGCTGGAGAGGGCTTACTTTGCTAGGGGGAGGTCAATTGTTGCTGGAAGAGATCTACTATTGAGGGAAGGGTCTAATTATGCTGACTGCTGGGGGATCTATTGTTGCTGGAGAGGATCTCTTTTTTTCATGGCCGTCTATTGCTGCTGGGGAGGTCTAGTGTTGATGATGGGGATCTATTGTTTCTGGAGGGGGCTTACTTTGCTGTGGGAAGGTCTATTGATGCTGGCTGCTATGGGGATCTATTGTTGCTGGAGAGGATCTCTTTTTTCATTTGCCGTCTATTGCTGCTGGGGAGGTCTAGTGTTGATGATGATGATCTATTGTTTCTGGAGGAGGTTTACTTTGCTGTGGGGAGGTCTATTGATGCTGGCTGCTATGCGGATCTATTGTTGCTGGAGAGGATCTTTTTTACATGGCAGTCTATTGCTGCTGGGAAGGTTTAGTGTTGGTCATGGGGATCTATTGTTGCTGAAGTGTGGCTTACTTTGCTGTGGGGTCAATTGTTTCTGGAAGGAATCTACCATTGAGGGAAGGGGTCTATTGATGCTGGTTGCTGTGGGATCTATTGTTGCTGGAGGGGATCTAATTTTACATGGCAGTCTATTGCTGCTGGGGAGGTATATTGCTGCTGATGGGGATCTATTGTTGCTGGAGGGATGATTACTTTGCTGGGGGGGGGTGTCAATTGTTACTGGAAGGGATCTACTATTGAGGGAAGAGTCTATTGATGCTGGCTGCTGGGGGATCTATTGTTGCTGGAGGGGATATATTTTTTTCGTAGCAGTCTATTGCTGCCGGGGAGATCTATTGTTGCTGGAGGGGATCTCTTTTCACGTGGCAGTCTATTGCTGCTGGGGAGGTCTAGTATTGCGGATGGGGATCTATTGTTGCCGGAGGGGGCTTACTTTGCTGGGGGGGTCATTTGTTTGTGGAATTGATCTACTATTGAGGGAAAGAGTCTATTGATGCTGGCAGCTGGGAGATCCATTTTTGCTGGGGTGTTTTTTTGTTGCAGGAGTTTATTGTTGCTGGGGGGGGGTCTATTGCGACTGGTTGGAAGGTGGGTAGGGGGTGGAACCAAGGGTAGGCTCTCGGAGATGGGTAGGGGGTGGAGCCAAGGGTTGGCGCTCGGAGATGGGTAGGGGGCGGAGCCATAAAGTGACTGAGGAAGTGTTTACTTCTAGCTGACTCTGTATTCTTTTGTTTTCAGTCTCTAGCGGACAGAGACGGGAAGAAGTGCCTTTTCCTTGTGAAATGCGTAGAGAAGAGTTATGAAATCAGCGCCTCTGATAAAAAGAAGAAACAGGAGTGGATTCAGGGTGAGTTACAAATCATTCGATGGGGAACCCATTTATAAAGGTGCGGGTGTGCAGTTCCCGGGGTGCCCATGAGTACCTACGTGCCGGTACTGACAAACACTGCGGCATTACAAAGGTTGTGCACAAGACAACCCCATCCATTTATAAATCATCTCCATCCACCCGAGATTTAAGTATTTGTTGTCTTATAAAAGTTGAAGACATCTTCAAGATTATTTATTTCCCCGGGTCCCGTTATCAGGCCCAGGCGGGCATTTTAGACTGATCCCGGGAGCCCTTCCCTTGGAGTCTGGTGGCTCGGTTGTAAGTGCGACCTTTGCGACCCCTGAGGTTCCCCTACTGGTGTCAGTAGTTTTTTTTCTTATACCATTTATTTTATTTTTATTTTTTTTACTATTATATATTTATTTTTAATGATTTTATTTTTTATTTTTACAATTTTTTTTTTTTAGGAGCCCCGATGGGGGGCTTTGGTAGGATATCAGAAGTCTAAACAGATCCCTGACATCTCACCTTTGAGTCAGAGAAAGGAGATTGAGGACACAGCCCATCCATCTCTGCAGCCTCAGCAGCACAGAATGAATGGACGGAATTAGCTCTGTATACAGCTTCCCATTCATTCATAAAATGAAGCATAGAAAACACAGTTTACTACACTTCAGTTATGAATGAACAGAGTCAGTGATTGGTTCCGATCACTGACTGTCCATTTAGACAAGGAGGAGGCCGGTAAATGACATATTTACTGGTCCTTTTCCCCATGCTACATCTTGACAGATCCCCTGCAGCAGCCGGGGGGGGAAGAAGGAAGCCAGGAGAGAGGACAGGGGGGTCAGGAGAGAGGGACAGGGGGGCCAGGAGAGAGCACAGAGGGATCAGGAGAGAGCACAGAGGGGCCAGGAGACAACACGAGGGGCCAGAAGAGAGCACAGGGGGACCAGGAGAGAGCACAGGGGGACCAGGAGAGAGGACAGGGGGGCCAGGAGAGAGGGGGGGCAGGAGGGCAAGGAGAGAGCACAGAGGGGGCCAGGAGAGCGCACAGAGGGGCCAGGAGAGAGCACAGAGGGGCCAGGAGAGCGCACAGAGGGACCAGGAGAGAGCACAGAGGGATCAGGAGAGAGCACAAGGGGACCAGGAGAGAGGACGGGGGGCCAGCAGAGAGCACAGGTGGGCAGGAGAGAGCACAAGGGGACCAGGAGAGAGCACAGAGGGGCCAGAAGAGAGAGCACAGAGAGGCGAGGAGAGAGGACAGGGGGGGGACAGGAGAGAGAGACAGGGGGACCAGGAGGAGAGAGGACAGGGGGGCCAGGAGAGAGGACAGGGGGGCCAGGAGAGAGCACAGAGGGATCAGGAGAAAGGACAGGGGGGCCAGGACAGAGCACAGGGGGGCCAGGAGAGAAAGGACAGGGGGGCCAGGACAGAGAGCACAGGGGGGCCAGGAGAGAGCACGGGGGGGAATCACAGTAGTACTAGACAGCAAAAAGGCAATGTCATATTTAAAGTGGAACTCCGTGATTTTCACACCTCCCTTTCCTGTGTACAAAGCCATTTCAGTAAAGATTTGGTCTGTTCAGGTTGGTGGAGGAACTTCAGTGGTGTAAACAGATCCCCGACCTCAACCTACTGAACACCTAAAGATGAACTACAACGCTGACTGTAAGCCAAGTCTTTTTGTTTGGCACCCAACATGGGGCCCAAGGTGTGTGCCGGCTCTTCTCATCCAGTGTCAGTCCCTGACCTCACAAATGGACACAAATTCCCACAGACACCCTCCAAAATCTTGTAGAAGGCCTTCCAGGAAGAGTGGAGGATGTTATAACCTCAACGGGGGGGGGGGGAGGCAACTCCATATTATTAATGTATTAATGGTCATGGAGGGAGTGGGGCAACTTACATTAAAGACCATGCAGGGAGTGGGGCAATTCCATATTAATGGCCATGCAGGGAGTGGGGGCACTCCATATTAATGGCCATGCAGGAAGTGGGGCAACCTCAAATTAATGGCCATGCAGGGAGTGGGGCACCTCTCATATTAATGGCCATGCAGGGAGTGGGGCCACCTCACATTAATGGCCATGCAGGGAGTGGGGCAACTCCATATTAATGGCCATGCAGGGAGTGGGGCAACCTCACATTAATGGCCATGCAGGGAGAGGGGCAACTCCATATTATTGGCCATAGAGGTAGAGGGGCAACTCCATATTATATTAATGGACATAGAGGGAGAGGGGCAACTCCATATTAATGGCCAACTCATATATTAATGGGTAGCGGGGCAACTCTATATTATTGGCCAAGAAGAGAGAAGGGCAACTCCATATTATTGGCCATAGAGGGAGAAGGACAACCCCATATTAATGACCATGGAGAGAGTGGGGCAACTCCACATTAATGACCGTGGAGGAAGGAGGGGCAACCCAAAAATAATGGCCCTGGAATAAGATGTCCAACAAACTCATATAACTGTGACAGTCAGGGGCCCACACAGACACCCTCCAAAATCTTGTGTAAAACCTTCCAAGAAACATGGAGGCCATTAAAGCCACAAGGAGGAGGGGCCATGGATTTGACTCAGGATGGTCAAGCTCATATTGTTGTAGTGGTCAGGCAGGACCTTAGGTCACACAATGTATTTCAGGGCCTTTTTGAAGCCTGGGGGGGCTGTTATCACAGGAACAAGCATGTGCCAAGGAGGCGTTGGAGGTCACAAAATGCACTGCTTGCTCCAGGTCCTGTAATGTGCAGGTGACATCCCCAGAGCATGAACTTCAAAAAGAAGCGTGCAGTAGAAGCTACCATCTTTCTGTTTTCTCTGCCTACCTGTAAGATCTGCGTTGTGTTCCTCTACAGCCATCCAGACGGTGGTGAACCTACGAAAGATGGGGATCCCCTCCCCACACAAGGACGCACGCCAGAAACGAAAGGCGATTCGGCAAAAACTACAGGCAGAGCAGGAAGAGCTACAGCAGAAGATGAAAGACCTCCAGATGTCCAACGAGACAAAGCACCAGGAGCTGGAGATGATGAGGATGGTGAGGGTGGGGCAGAGATAACTGGTTACCTATACCAGGTGGGGGGATCGGGAGAAGTCATTGTTGGAACGTTGACCATCACATTGGTCCAGAACTCGCCCCACGTTTGCTGATGCAAAGAAAAAAAAATTTTTCCCCTCAATGGTATCTTATTATTTTACAGCAGATAGAGAAGAACCCGACCTCTAAAATAACATTAACATGTCAGCGTCCTTTTAAAGGCTTTTCAGGTTTTTTGAAATCTGCAGCTTTCATTGGCATCTCCGGGCCAATATAAAAATCAACTTGATATGAGGACCAAACAATGCATGCTCAGAGACTGCAGACATGGTACACGGGATGGTCAGAGACTGCAGACATGGTACACGGGATGGTCAGAGACTGCAGACACAGTACATGGGATGGTCAGAGACTGCAGACCTAGTACAGGAGATGACCAGAGACTGCAGACCTAGTACAGGAGATGACCAGAGACTGCAGACACAGTACAGGAGATGGTCAGAGACTGCGGACATAGTACATGGGATGGTCAGAGACTGCAGACACAGTACAGGAGATGGTCAGAGACTGCGGACATAGTACAGGGGATGACCAGAGACTGCAGACCTAGTACAGGAGAGGGTCAGAGACTGCGGACATAGTATAGGAGATGACCAGAGACTGCGCGTACATAGTACAGGAGATGACCAGAGACTGCGGACATAGTACAGGAGATGGTCAGAGGCTGCAGACATAGTACAGGAGATGACCAGAGACTGCAGACATAGTACAGGAGATGGTCAGAGGCTGCAGACATAGTACAGGAGATGACCAGAGACTGCAGACATAGTACAGGAGAGACTGACCAGAGACTGCGGACATAGTACAGGAGATGACCAGAGACTGCGGACATAGTACAAGAGATGGCCAGAGACTGCAGACATAGTACAGGAGATGGTCAGAGACTGCAGACATAGTACAGGAGATGGTCAGAGACTGCGGACACAGTACAGGAGATGGTCAGAGACTGCGGACATAGTACAGGAGATGACCAGAGACTGCAGACATAGTACAGGAGATGGTCAGAGGCTGCAGACACAGTACAGGAGATGGTCAGAGACTGCGGACATAGTACAGGAGATGACCAGAGACTGCGGACATAGTACAGAAGATGGTCAGAGACTGCGGACATAGTACAGGAGATGGTCAGAGACTGCAGACATGGTACAGGAGATTATCAGTGACTATGAACATGCTGTAGGTGACTTTCAGAGACTGAGCATGTTCTAGGAGTTGTTGAAGACTGGAGACATGCTTCAGGAAACAGTCATAGACTGGAAACCTATTACAAGAGACTGCTAGAGATCACTGCTATAAAGGTACAAAACAGGAATCACAAATTAGTGTCTGCAGGGACCCCAGGGGTGGTGATGTCCGTGCATGCGTGGTGACGTCTGCGCAGACATCACTACGCATGCGTGGATGCTCGCGGCCATCTTGGAAGTGGGCACACATTTATGATTGTACCCAAGGACATTTCACATCACGGGTGGAAAATGCTGCACTTGGATGTACAAGAACATTTCCGGAGATTGACGATTGTTATCACATTCCATGACTTTTGCACCCCATTTTTCTGCACCTGAATTCGATCATTTGTATCATAGACGTTTTTTTATTGTTGATGATTTATAATTGTAGTTTTTATTCCCGTTGTAAGCGATGCACTTTTTTTAAACTAACATAAATACGGTATAAACTGCTTCCTTTCTAGAACACAATATTGTTTCTTTAGAATGTATATACGTTCTAGATCTGTGTTTTTGTTTTTTTTGGGCAGCAACTAAGGGAAGCCGCTGCCCGGGCCACCCAAGAGGAGAAAAAACGCCACGAGACGCACATGGAGTTACAGGATCGCTTCAGAGAGGAGCTGGAACGGGAGCAAATGGTAATTACTGGAAGGTGAACATTCTATAATATATGTTCCCGTCCGGCAGAACTGAAGCAGTTCACATGGGACCGCAACTTGGATTTACTCGATAATAAATGCAGGCTACCTTGTGCACAAAAAAAAAAAGATACAAAATAAATAAATATAATAACAAAAATAAAAAAAGCATAAATAAATAATACCTCCATACACCCCAATAAAGTACAGTGTACAGAAACATGTATGTAAGCATCAATTATGGGCAGCACAGTGGCTAAGTGGTCAGCACTTCTGCCTGGCAGTACTCGGGTTGTTGGTTGGAATCCCAACCACGGCACCACCTGACTGGAGTTTGCATGTTCTCCCTGTGCCTGCGTGGGTTTCCTCCGGGTACTCTGGTTTCCTCCCACACTACAAAGACATGCTGGTAGGTTAATTGGCTCCTGTCTACATTGGCCCTAGTATGTGTATGTATGAATGTGAGTTAAGGACCTTAGATTGTACACCCCTCGGGGGCGGGGACTGATGGGAATACAAAATACAGTATATACCCACATGGAAGAAAAATATATTTTAAATATATTTTTAAAATATTCTACCTAAATATGTGGACATATATATATGAAATACTACAATTTTGGCCGTATTCAATATATTTATAAAAAAAAAAAAATTAAAAAAAAAAAATATATATATATATATATAATACTGTATGTTGAAATGCGTTTTTTATATATTACAAAATATATGAAAAAAATATTTGTAAAAATAAATTTTCAGATATACGGTATGTCTTTAAAAATACATTTATTGGAATGCATTTACAAATATGTGTTAAAATTACTTTTTTATATGTTAAAAAAAATCTGAAGAGTATATTTTTAAAAATATTTTTTATATAGTGTAATATATAAAAAGCGCATTTCAACATACAGTATAAATATATATATTGAATACGGCCAAAATTTGTAGTATTTCAAATATATGCCAATGTATTTGGGAAGAATATTTTTAAAATATATTTAAAATATATTTTTCTTCCATGCGGGTATGTAAAAGTGCTGCGTAAATTGGTGGCGCTATATAAGTACCTGTAATAAATAAATAAAATCAATCAATTGCACCACACATGAGGTATCGTCACAAATGTTAGAGTGAGAGCAATAATTCCAGGGCCATAAATCACAGTTAATTCTAAAATGATAACCTGTCAAGGATTTAAAGCATCGCCTATGGAGAATTTTGGGTACCATCGTTTTTTTTTATTTGTGATTTCACAGGCGGCACTTGGCATCTTGGATGTTCGTTTTTTATTTGGGTCCTCATCTGTTTTTTTGTATCTCTTACTTTGTATTCCCGTCTGATCGATGTTTATAAACAATGTTACTTTGTATCTCTCTATCTCCCGTCTGATCGATGTTTATAAACACAATGTATGTTACTTTGTATCTCTCTATCTATCCCGTTTTTGATCGATGTTTTTAAAACAATGTTTTTTTTTGTATCTCTCATCGTGCACGTGGCTGATCGATGTTTGCTCATCACAAACATGTTTTTATAAACAATGTTACTTTGTATCTCTCTCATCCCCCGTCTGATCGATGTTTATAAACAATGTTACTTTGTATCTCTCTATCTCCCGTCTGATCGATGTTTATAAACAATGTTACTTTGTATCTCTCTATCTCCCGTCTGATCGATGTTTATAAACAATGTTACTTTGTATCTCTCTATCTCCCGTCTGATCGATGTTTATAAAACAATGTTACTTTGTATCTCTCTATCTCTCGTCTGATCGATGTTTACAAACAATGTTACTTTGTATCTCTTTATCCCCCATCTGATCAATATTTATAAACAATGTTACTTTCTATCTCTCATCTGATCGATGTTTATAAACAATGTTACTTTGTATCTCTATCTCCCGTCTGATCGATGTTTATAAACAATGTTACTTTGTATCTCTCTATCTCCCATCTGATCGATGTTTATAAACATTGTTACTTTGTATCTCTCTATCTCCCGTCTGATCGATGTTTATAAACAATGTTACTTTGTATCTCTCTATCTCCCGTCTGATCGATGTTTATAAACAATGTTACTTTGTATCTCTCCATCTCCCATCTGATCGATGTTTATAAACATGTTACTTTGTATCTCTCTATCTCCTGTCTGATCGATGTTTATAAACAATGTTACTTTGTATCTCTCTATCTCCCGTCTGATCAATGTTTATAAACAATGTTACTTTGTATCTATCTTCTCTCTCTCATCAATGTTTATAACTACTTTGTGTCTTTCTATCTCAAGCCTAAACAATACATTGTCAGGTGGCTGTTTTTTGGCAGCAGCAGCTATTACAGCAGAAAGCACTTACAACACAACTAATGACAGTCATTTTGAAAGGTGTGAATTGCTGGCAGGCAAATGCAAGGGGGGGAGGGACAGTGGGGCAGGAGCACAGGGTGTGCTACACATACCTTGTGTACTTCTGGGCGTGTGTAGCATACCCAGTGTCCACCACAGGTTACAATACTTATTGAATACATTTCAGGTAGTCTTCTTTTCAGCCTTTCTCTATCCTGAAATGGCTCAGAACCCGGATCAGCAGGTTGCAAAGAATGAACCTCTATCTATTATTCGTCTATCCGTAGATTCGGCAACAAATGGAAGAACAGGTAGCACAGAAGTCCTCAGAATTAGAGCAGTATTTGAAGAGGGTGCGAGAGCTGGAACAAATGTATCATCGACTGCAGGAGGCGCTAGATGATGAGAAACAAGCGCGACTTGAAGAGGAGAGAGCGCGGCTCTTACAGGCCAGGTGAGGGTGCCGAATAAAACCAAAAAAGGACTGAAGTGTGTAAACCCTAAAGAGGAGCGTCTCTCTCCTTTCCTCCTTTCTCCTATGTTCTGCTTTATGTACTATTTAAAGCATTTTGTTATATTTCAAAAACTGCAAAAAAAATACCCGCTGACCGTGCCATGCCAGAAATTCCCCAAATACCCCAAATACTTGTCCTGAAAATCTGACTGTTAGTGCAAGTCGTTGTGTTGGAAGTGCACTAAGATGGCCACAGTCACCTCAAGCATGATGGAAGGTGGTACAGTTACAAGACAAGAAGGTTAGAAGAGTTTTCAGGGAGTGGGAGATAGTCGGACTGATTGGGGTAGAGGGTTCCATAGGTTGGAAAGGGCTCGAAACTGTCTTGGAAATTAGCTTTTAAAACAAATTTCTCCTTACCGTGAGTACTCGCAGTTGGATGCGCAGAAATCCCCCATAAAGCTGTGCGAATCTCGCTTACCACGGACTGCAGCTAAACTACACGATTCCTGCCCATCCAACTGATTTAGCTCTGTTGAGATGTGAGGAAATGGAGCTCCCGTTACCCAGAAATGATCAGAACACTTGGTTGCAGTTGGAATTCACATAGAGGCGGATCCAACCCCAGCCTCCGATTTTTATTTACAAGCAGACACACGCCCCCACATGAATAAGGTCAATCCCCTCCCACAGAACAATGCATGGGGAATGCCTATACACAGGATGTTTCCGATTGGAGCATAGCCTTTCACTTATCTATCACCGGTCCTCCCCCCATGAGCCCTCTGAGGTCAGCAGACTTCCTCCCCTCCCCCCATGAGCTCTCTATGGAGAGCATTACTTCCTGTTTAGCTCCTAGTGGTATGTAAATTCTCTTGTACAAGTATCCCCTAGATTAAACATCAGTCTGTACTGAATGGGCCCGATATGATCTTTATTAAAACACATCCAGATTCAGATACAGTTCAGGTCGGTAGTGGTTGTAGAGATATCCATGAGCCTAGACGCGGAGTTCGCATTGCCTGGCGCCTAGACATACGAAGTCTATGTGGTACTATGCTGCTGATATGTGGATACAGGCCCGCGGCCTACCGCTGGCAGCTTCGCATCGAATGCCATGGGGGTCTATAAGACTGCAGATCTGCCATCTCATCCATTTTACCGAGCTGAGTACTGTAATACATACATTGTACATGTGGCCCAATTGCAGCCTTCAGAGCTTTAATTAAGCCACACGAGAGACATATGAATAACACTTAATATATGACACATTTAAAGTTCAACCTGGAAATACAAAATTTCCATGACAAGACGTGAGTCCTAGAAGTGAGTATGGAGGAGGAGGTGACAAGGGAGCTAGAGAACAGGAGGTCAGTTTGGGTGTTATTCTGAGATAGGGTTGGTGATATATTTCAGAACATTGGACAGCAGTGGACAGCCTTGTATGTTTTTGTTAGGATTTTGAATTGTATGTGTTGGGTGCAGTGCCCGGGGTCAGTAGGGGGCCCCATGAGATGCCCCTGGTACCTTTCATTGGCTTTTTCATAGGCTTTTTTTGGGTGTGGGCAAGGACACAGGGGCCCCATGATCCCCTATTGCCCGGGGGCCCCATGAGTTGTCAGTCCGCCCCTGGTTGGGTGAGCAAAATTTGTGGAGGAATTGGCAGAGAAATTATCAGAGAGGGGTTAAGGAGACTGAAAAGGTAATGTGAGGAGTAGAGAGAGCAGAGATCATAGAGATGGTATTGGAAGCAATTGGAGGTTACCAACTGACCATAGGAGGAGGTGTAGATCGAGAACAGAAGTGGTCTGAGGACAGAGCCTGGGGCACCCCTATGGGAAAAGGATGAGAGGAGGAGGAGGTAGAGATGTAGGTTGTGAGTTGAGGAGTAGAGAGAGTTTGGGTGTCGTCAGCCTAGAGATGTTATTGGAAGCTATGAAAAGTTATCAACTGACTAAGGGAGGAAATGCAGCTAGAGAAAAGAAGGTGGCCGAGGACAGAGCCTTGGGGACCCCTATGGGAAAAGGAAGAGGGAAGGGGGAGGTAGAGTTGTAGGTTGTGAGCCAAGGAGTAGAGAGATAGGTTTGGGTGCTGTCAGCATAGAGATGGTATTAGAAACTATGAACGGTTATCAACTGACCAAGGGAGGAAGTGTAGATAAAAAATAGAAGTAGTTTGAGGACAGAACCTGGGGGACCCCCTACAGAAAAAGGAAGAAGAGAGAGAGGAGGTAGAGTTGTAGGTTGTGAGCTAAAGAGTAGAGAGATAGGTTTGGGTGTCATCAGCATAGAGATGTTATTGGAAGCTATGAAAGGTTATAAAACTGACCAAGGGAGGAGATGTAGATAGAGAAAAGAAGGTGTCCAAGGACAGAGCATTGGGGACACCTATGGGAAGAGGAAGAGGAAAAGAGGAGGTAGAGTTGTAGGTTGTGAGCTGAGGAGTAAAGAGATATGTTTGGGTGTCTTCAGCATAGAGATGGTATTGGAAGCTATGAAAGGCTATCAACTGACCAAAAGAGGAGGAGGTGTAGATAGAGAATAGAAGGTGTCCTAGGACAGAGCCCTAGAGGGCCCCCACAGAAAGAGGATCAGGACAAGAGAGAAGGGGAATAAAGTAGTCGACACTGTAGGAGCACCTAGATAGGCAAGAGGAGAACCAGGAAAAAGGGCAGGGTTTCTGAGGTCAAAGTAGTGGAGCTTTTCGAGGAGAAGCAGGTGGCCAAATGCATCAAAGCTAGTAGAAAGGTCTTATAGCATGAGTAGGGCCTTTGGTTTACTTTAAAAATCTAAGCCTTGCAAGTGCACTAATATGGCTACAATCCCCTCAAACATAGTAGAAGGTAGTACTACAAAGAGTAAAGAGATAGGTTTGTTGTCTTCAGCATAAAGATGGTATTGGAAGCTATGACAGGCTATCTACTGACCAAAAGAAGAGGTGTAGTCAGCTGACCAAGGGAGGAGGATAGAAGGTGTCCGAGTACAAAGCCTTTGGGGACCTCCACAGAAGGAGAATGAGGAGAGGATAAAGTTGTAGGTGACACCGAAGGAGAACTTAAATAGGCAGGATTAGAACCAGGAAAAAACTGAGATTTTGAGGTCAAAGAAGTAGAATTTTTGAGGAGAAGCAGGTGGCCAACTGTATCAAAGCTTGCAGAAAGGTCAAATTATATGAGTATAGCCTTTGGTTTACTTTATGAATTTAGGCCTTCCAAGTACACGAATATGGCTACAATCACCTCAGGCATGATGGAAGGTATCACAAGACAGGAAGTTTAGATGGATTTTCAGTGATCGCCTAAAAGTGTGGATAGGGAGTAGAAGCGGTTCAAGGACAAAACCTGGGGAACCCCTACGGGAAGAGGAGAGGAGGAGGTAGAGTAGTAGTTGCGAGCTGAGAAGTATTGAGATCGGATCGGGTGTCATCTGCATAGAGATTGCATTTGAGCTATGGAAGGTTATCAACTGACCAAGGGAGGTGTAGTCAACTGACCAAGGGAGGAGGATAGAAGGTATCTGAGTACAGAGCCTTGGGGGACCTCCACAGAAGGAGGATGAGGAGAGGAGGAAATAGTGTTTTAGGTTGTGAGCTGAGAAGTAAAGAAAATAGGTTTGGGTGTCTTCAGCATAAAGATGGTATTGGAAGCTATGAAAGGCTATCTTCTGACCAAAAGAGGTGTAGTCAACTGACCAAGGGAGGAGGATAGAAGGTATCCGAGTACAGAGCCTTTGGGGACCTCTACAGAAGGAGGATGAGGAGAGGATAAAGTTGTAGGTGACACTGAAGGAGCACTTAAATAGGCAGGAGGAGAACTGGGAAAGAGCAGAGATTTTGAGGTTTTAAAGAAGTGGATTTTTCGAGGAGGAGCAGGTGGCCAACTGTATCAAAGCTTGCAGAAAGATCTAATAGTATGAGTATGGCCTTTGGTTTACTTTATAATTTAGGCCTGCTTTAATCTGAAATTTTAATGAATTCTGGCAACTTGGTATAAGAAAGCATCTGTAAATGTTTGGCCTGAATGCTTGTTATTCTTGAGTTCGAGAAAGAAGAGTTTTTTCGAGACAGTAGTTAGTATTGGAGGGCATGTGCATGTATGGGGTGAGAGACAAAGTTAGTATGGGGGGGCATGTGTATGTATGGGGCTGGGGTTAGGCCTACCTCTGGATGACAACCTGCAATTTGTGAACAGTTGGGCTAAACAGACCTGAGTATTTTCATGTCTTCGTTGACTATATACCTGTGTAATTTCCAGACTCCTGGAAGAGGAAGCAGCCAAGCGAGCCATGCTGGAGAAACTCCACCAGGAGCAGGAGCTTGCTATCAAGATGACGGAAGCTGAGAAGAAGGAACTGGAGACTATCCGGGAGATGAAGGAGATAGCGCTAGAGGAGGCTATGCAGCAGCTGGAACAGCTGGAGAAGGAGCGGATGGCAGCCCTGGAGCAATACCAGGTGACTGGGAGCGATCCATTGTAGGCGTGGGCCTGTCAATCTGGGGTCAACCTAGATCCATTTAAGATTCCATCCCTAAACTCTGATGAGGTTCAGGACCTGTATCTGTGTTTTCTGTTGACTCAAGTTTAAGTTGCCCCCAATTTAAAGTAGGGGTTACGCCAATATTTGTTTTAGTTTCAGATTCAGTAGGAAAGGGTTAGAGCCTCTGCCAGGTTCTACTATTGTCTGTTACCTTTTGGTACATTTCCCTACACTTCCTGTCTCAGCAGCCACACAGGAAATGAGAGGAAATTGTCCCCCCCCGCAGCCATGTTCACCAATACAATCTGGCAGAGATTTAGTCCACTCTCTGTAATATCAAAAACTAAATAAAAGTGATTGCCAGACTGATAGCATTCTGAAATGTCAGGAATCCATATCTATGAAATGTTTACTGACTTTAGTTCACCATCTTATACATTTATTATGTTTGGAATGTACAATGCCACTTTACAACTAAAATTCACATTTCTTTTATTCCATGACAGCAAATTAAAGATAATCTGGAAGTTGCGACGAGTAAGACAAGGAGCTGGAAGGACAAAGTGGCGCAACATGAAGGCCTAATCCGACTGATACAGCCAGGTATGGAATAACTGCTGTGCTACAATGTGGCCGGAAAAAGACATTCTCTTTTATTCAGTTATATAGAAAAATACGTCTCCATAGTATTTAGAGTCATGTTAGTTTCTTACACTTTATTGTCCCCAGACCAATCACACGCTACTGTTATTATACATGTATATAGCTCTGACATATACCACAGCGCTGTACAGAGATCACTGAGCCAGTCCCATCAGTCTCTGTACCAGAGGAGCTTACACTCTAATGTCCCCTCCCCCACAGTCACATCAGTCTCTGTACCAGAGGAGCTTACACTCTAATGTCCCCCTCCCCCACGTCACATCAGTCTCTGTACCAGAGGAGCTTACATTCTAATGTCCCCCCCCCCCACAGTCACATCAGTCTCTGTACCAGAGGAGCTTACACTGTCCCCTCCCCCACAGTCAACATCAGTCTCTGTACCAGAGGAGCTTACAATGTAATGCCCCTCCCCCACAGTCACATCAGCCTCTGTACCAGAGGAGCTTACACTCTAATGTCCCCTCCCCCCAGTCACATCAGTCTCTGTACCAGAAGAGCTTACATTCTAATGTCCCCCCCCCCACAGTCCATCAGTCTCTGTACCAGAGGAGCTTACGCTCTAATGTCCCCTCCCCCACGGTCACATCAGTCTCTGTACCAGAGGAGCTTACGCTCTAATGTCCCCTCCCCCCCACAGTCACATCAGTCTCTGTACCAGAGGAGCTTACACTCTAATGTCCCCTCCCCCACAGTCACATCAGTCTCTGTACCAGAGGAGCTTACACTCTAATGTCCCCTCCCCCACAGTCACATCAGTCTCTGTACCAGAAGAGCTTACATTCTAATGTCCCCTCCCCCACAGTCACATCAGTCTCTGTACCAGAGGAGCTTACACTCTAATGTCCCCTCCCCCACAGTCACATCAGTCTCTGTACCAGAAGAGCTTACATTCTGTAATGTCCCCTCCCCCACAGTCACAGCAGTCTCTGTACCAGAAGAGCTTACACTCTAATGGGTCCCCCCCCCCTTCACGGTCCCATCAGTCTCTGTACCAGAGGAGCTTACAACTGTAATTTCCCCGTTCACTCTAATGTCCCCTCCCCCACAGTCACATCAGTCTCTGTACCAGAGGAGCTTACACTCTAATGTCCCCTCCCCCACAGTCACATCAGTCTCTGTACCAGAGGAGCTTACACTCTAATGACCCCTCCCCCACAGTCACATCAGTCTCTGTACCAGAGGAGCTTACACTCTAATGTCCCCTCCCCCACGTCCCCATCAGTCTCTGTACCAGAGGAGCTTACCCTCTAATGTCCCCTCCCCCAACAGTCACACACTATTATGATACATTTATATAGCTCTGACATATACCGCAGCGCTGTACAGAGATCACTGAGCCATTTAATTTTCAGGGGGTTATAATCTCTGATATCCACCAATCTCTGAAATTCCAGATTTGAGAGCCCTGACCCGTTCTCATTCCATCTGGGAATATCTGGATTGCTGTTCCTCTAAATACATTGATGCATTCTTGAAATTCTGTCACCTTTTCAGGTTCTAAAAATCCCGAGTTCATCACAAACTGGGGACCGGCTTCTTTCACCCAAGGTGAACTTGAGGAGAGAGAGAAGAACTGGCAAGAAAAGAAGAACACCAGCGCGGACTAGAGCGTCCGTCCAAACGTGGACCACCAGATAGGACCGCGGCCCCAAAATCAGCTTGCAACAGCGGGAGAGTTTGTGCGTGCGTTATTTGAAATATTATTTTTTATTTTGTATTCCCAAGTTGTGTCTACTTCAAAAAGGGAGATAACAAAACACCGGTGAGCTACTGTAATCCGAAGAACTTCTAGACTTTTCAAAAACGAGAAAGAACTTCCAACAAAAACAAGAAGAACCTGCTGGATAAACATCTAACAACCCAAAAGGGATGATCCTACGGATGGCGAGTCGTGTCCAGGACAGAACAGATGTCCATACTAAACCCTTTAACGATTATAATGTCCTAGAATAGGCCGGGGAATCCGTTTTATTTTTGGCGTTGCAATTTTGGGACATGTTCATACTTTCCTATGTTCATTTTTTTATTTGAAACTGGAACGTGAGATAGAAATAAATTTTTGTGAAATGAGTCTCATGTGACAATAGTAGAGGTATGTTGTTGGACCCATTCAGAGAGTTGGGTATGTCTCAACAACTGTTACATAAAAAGTAATTTGCAAAAATTAAACATTTGTAAAGTTTTTTTGTTTCCTTTTTCTGTAAGTAGAGAGAATAAAACCCACCAATGGCTTGCGTGGTGTAGGCATCTCTGTCACATAAGCCACTGATGGGGTTTTTTCTCTCCTCTGACGAGTTCCATCCACCATCCTCTGCCATGCAAGCCATGGATGGGATTTTTCTTTCTACTTACAAGTTCCATCCACCATCCTCTGCCATGCAGGCCACTGATGGTTTTTTTCTTTCTAGCTTTGTCATGCCTGGTCTGAAGTCACTTAATGTAAGATAACTGTTCAGCATAAAGTGCAGTCTTTTCCTAACATTCCAGTCCCTAACTACAGGGTTCTGGCTGCCCAACACACCTGAACAGGAAAGAGTCCATTCTTGCCGAGTCCCTGGTTGGTATCTTTCAGGGATAATTGAAAGCCCCAGCAATTTCCCCACATGAGGAAGGCTCTGCCAGGACACAGGTTTGTAGCGTTTTTTAACTGCATCAGGACAGAAGCACTCTCCCATCACACGCCTTGCTAGCTGTCTGTTTCGTTCCTAGCCATGCAGCAGGCTGTGTGTTGTGGGACCACCTTTTAGATCTTTGCAGCAGCCCCAGACATATTGGCAGATCCCTCATAGCAGGCATCTGCAGTGATGGCAGATAACAGAGAAGGTAGCCGAAGCTGAGCAGAGCCCCTCCGGGCAGATAGTGGACTGGAGGATGCAGTTACATGGGTAGCTGTCAGCCAGTCTTCTCCCATATGGCTGGACTAGTCTGGGCACAACTTGTCCATACATCTACACAAGGTTGTCCAGTGTTTTACACTGACAGATACAATATGTCCACATGTACACAAGGTTCTCCAGTCTTTTACATTCACAGATACAACGTGTCCACATCTACACAAGGGGTTTTTTACATTCACAGATACAATGTGTCCACATCTTCAGAAGGTTCTCCAGTCTTTTACATTGACAGATACAACGTGTGTCCACATCTACACAAGGTTCTTCAGTCTTTTAAATTCACAGATACAATGGGGTTTATTTACTAAAGCTGGAGAGGTCCAAAATCAGACTCCCTTCTGCATAGAAACCAATCAGCTTCTAACCTCAGCTTGTTCAATGAATTGAAGCTTTGGCAATGAAACCTGGAAGCTGATTGGTTTTCTATGCAGAAGGGAGTCTGATTTTGGACTAGCTTCAGCTTTAGTAAATAAACCCCAATATGTCCACATCTACACAAGGTTCTCCAGTCTTTTACATTGACAGATACAACGTGTCCCACATTTACACAATGTTCTCCAGTCTTCTACATTCACAGATACAACGTGTTTTTTTACTTCTACACAAGCTTCTTCAGTCTTTTACATTGACAGATACGTGTCCACATCTACACAAGGTCCTCCAGTCTTCCATTGACAGATACAACGTGTCCATCTACATCTACACCAAGGTGTCCTCCAGTCTTCCATTGACAGATACAACGTGTCCACATCTACACAAGCTTCTCCAGTCTTTTACATTGACAGATACAACGTGTACAACATCTACACAAGCTTCTCCAGTCTTTTCCATTGACAGATACAACATGGTCACATCAACGTGAGGTTCTCCAGTCTTTTACATTTCACAGATACAACGTGTCCACATCTACACAAGGTTCTTCAGTCTTTTAAATTCACAGATACAATGTGTCCACATCTACACAAGGTTCTCCAGTCTTTTACATTGACAGATACGAATGTCCACATCTTCAGAAGGTTCTCCAGTCTTTTACATTGACAGATACAACGTGTCCACATTCTACACAATGTTCTCCAGTCTTTTACATTGACAGATACAACGTGTCCACATCTACACAAGGTTCTCCAGTCTTTTACATTGAAAGATACAACGTTGTAAACACATCTACACAAGGTTCTCCAGTCTTTTACATTCACAGATACAACGTGTCCACATCTACACAAGGTTCTCCAGTCTTTTACATTGACAGATACGTGTTTCCACTCTACACAAGGTTCTCCAGTCTTCTACATTCACAGATACAATGTGTCAACATCTACACAAGGTTCTCCAGTCTTCTACATTCACAGATACAACGTGTCAACATCTACACAAGGTTCTCCAGTCTTTTACATTGACAGATACAACGTGTCCACATCTACACAAGGTTCTCCAGTCTTTTACATTCACAGATACAACGTGTCCACATCTACACAAGGTTCTCCAGTCTTTTACATTCACAGATACAACGTGTCAACTTCTACACAAGGTTTCTCCAGTCTTTTACATTCACAGATACAACGTGTCCACATCTACACAAGCTTCTCCAGTCTTTTACATTGACAGATACAACATGGTCACATTAACAAGGTTCTCCAGTCTTTTACATTCACAGATCCAACATGTCACATCTACAGAAGGTTCTCCAGTCTTTTACATTGACAGATACAACGTTTCCACTTCTACACAAGGTTCTCCAGTCTTTTACATTGAAAGATACAACGTGTCAACATCTACACAAGGTTCTCCAGTCTTCTACATTCACAGATACAACGTGTCAACATCTACACAAGGTTCTCCAGTCTTTTACATTGACAGATACAACGTGTCCACTTCTACACAAGGTTCTCCAGTCTTTTACATTCACAGATACAACGTGTCCACATCTACACAAGGTTCTCCAGTCTTTACATTCACAGATACAACGTGTCCAACATCTACACAAGGTTCTCCAGTCTTTTACATTGACAGATACAACGTGTCCACATCTACACAAGGTTTCTCCAGTCTTTTACATTCACAGATACAACGTGTCCACTATCTACACAAGGTTCTCCAGTCTTTGCATCTTTTGCAGATGTGGACACGTATCTGTCAATGGAAATCTGTGAAAGTCATGTTGTGCGCTCTTATGCCTTGTATAGCGTTTTTACTCTTCTATTGTCTGTACTTTACCAAAATCTTGCGCCCTCCAGATTGTATCACCATGAATATGTTCTGGACGGAGACATCATCATTGGAGGAATTTCCGATGTCCATTGCCTTATGGCTAATTGGAAGATCCATGAGATCTCGATCACCACCAACATGTTCTGTTGGCAGTACGTACAATGCAGCAATGTCACATCTGACCAAATTAAAGGTTATAAAATATATGGGGCGATAATTGGATTGTATTGCCCCTTTACATCCAGAATATCAGATTACTGAAGAAAGATTTCTACCCGAACATTATCCGTGACCTCACTCTGCATATCACAATCACTCACTATACTGAATACATTCATAATTCATAGGAATGACTCCTGTGCTGTAAACCATACATGTGTCGTCCCGGGACGTTCCGCTGTGACACTTCCACACAACTACCGCTTGGGTGCAAACCTGCTGAACAAAGGAACAAATCCTGAAGGCTGCACTCCAAATAAAGTCACTCGCAAGTAAAAGGCAACAAAATACAACAACCAAACGCCGTGATGAGGAAAGTCAAAGCGCTTTGTGCTGCTTTACCACCAACTAATGACATTGTTAAGGGCTAGAATGAGAAACTTCCTTCTCCTTGTGAGATTCTCAAGGCAGATATAACCATTGTGCCAGTACCAGAGACACCACCGAGAGCCTGTAATGTACACTGCCGTATATACTGGACTATAGGAGCACTCCCCACTGTCCTGTACACTGCCGTATATACTGGACTATAGGAGCACTCCCACCACTGTCCTGTACACTGCCGTATATACTGGACTATAGGAGCACTCCCACCACTGTCCTGTACACTGCCGTATATACTGGACTATAGGAGCACTCCCACCACTGTCCTGTACACTGCCGTATATACTGGACTATAGGAGCACTCCCACCACTGTCCTGTACACTGCCGTATATACTGGACTATAGGAGCACTCCCACCACTGTCCTGTACACTGGAGCACTCCCACCACTGTCCTGTACACTGCCGTATATACTGGACTATAGGAGCACTCCCACCACTGTCCTGTACACTGCGTATATACTGGACTATAGGAGCACTCCCACCTCTGTCCTGTACACTGCCGTATACTGGAATATAGGAGCACTCCCACCACTGTCCTGTACACTGCCGTATATACTGGAAATATAGGAGCACACCCACCACTGTCCTGTACACTGCCATATATACTGGACTATAGGAGCACTCCCACCACTGTCCTGTACACTGCCGTATATACTGGAGTATAGGAGCACTCCCACCACTGTCCTGTACACTGCCGTATATACTGGACTATAGGAGCACTCCCACCACTGTTTTGTACACTGCCGTATATACTGGAGTAGGGGAGCACTCCCACCACTGACCTATACACTGCCATATATACTGGGACTATAGGAGCACTCCCACCACTGTCCTTTACACTGCTGTGTATACTGGAGTATAGCAGCACTCCCACCTGCTGTCTTGTACACTACCATATATATTGGAGTATAGGAGCACCCCACCACTGTCTTGTACGCTGCTGTATATACTGGAGTATAGGAGCACTCCCACCACTGTCCTGTACACTGCCTTATATACTGGAGTATAGGAGCACTCCCACCACTATACTATACACTGCCGTATATACTGGACTATAGGAGCACTCCCACCACTATCCTATACACTGCCTTATATACTGGAGTATAGGAGCACTCCCACCACTATCCTATACACTGGCTTATATACTGGAGTATAGGAGCACTCCACCACTATCCTATACACTGCCGTATATACTGGACTATAGGAGCACTCCCCCCACTGCACTTTACACTGCCGTATATACTGGACTATAGCATTCGGTTTGTTTGCAGGCTGTTTGGCAAGTTGAGCTTCAAATTTTTCTCTTTTGTTGACATGCATCGCCCTTCCATGTGCTCCTTGATTTTAAGGCCAGTTATAGCTTGGGGCAGTGGCCATTATTTGTACTGCTGAATTGTTGGTTAGGGGGGCGCTCTGGACACCTTAGCTGCCATTGTGCTGCATGCTGGGTGTCCAGTGCACTCCTGTACCTGTACTTTGTAGGCTCTGAAAATTTGCAGAGTTAGGCTGGCCATACACTATACAATTTTCTGTCCAATTTCCTTTAGATTTACCTTCAACTATGTACTGTAAGGGCCTGCCTAATTGGATATAATTGATAGTGTTGTTCAGGTTTGACCTCATATTATATGGTTTTTGGTAAATCTAAAACAAAATTCTCAAAAAAATAGTATAAATGCATGGCCAGCCTTAGGAACTACAGAATATCGGGTTGCCATGACAAGGCTCTGTAGCTTACACATGTATTTGCAAATCTGTGCTAACTAAACCCACGTTTTTTAGCACATACTGTTAGACATGTTAATTCGGTTTGTTTGAAGGCTGCTTGGCAAGTTGAGCCGGGAATTTTTCTCTTCTGTTGCTTGACATGCGTCGCATTTCCATGTGCTTCTTGCTGTGAAGGCCAGTTATAGACTGGGGCAGCGGCCATTTTTTGTAATCTCAAACCATGCAGAGCTTATTACGAATGTCCATATAAAAGAACATCAGGATAGCAGTGGACCATAACAGGATTTCATTTATTGTTAGCTGTGCACATCAAGCATATATATGGGAAAAATAAAAACGCTCAATTTTAAGAGAGCTAATTTTCCAAGGCTGAGAGCTGCTCTCCAAGACTTACACTGGGAGGGAATATTGGCATCAATGAACACAAACACAGAAATGGGAGTTCTTATATAAACCTGTATGTGAACACACTGTAAAGTATGTTCCTACGGGCAACACGTTTAAAAGGCTAAAAATCAAACCTATGTGGCTTACGGCCAAAGTTAAAAAAGCTATAAATAATAACAAAAGAGCTTTCATTAAATATAAAATGAAGGAACGCCATCATCATCGTTTACACATTACAAAGAATATAACAGAATATATAAAAAGGAAGTCAAGGCCGCACACAATTAAAAACGAATGATATATTGCAAAGGATAGCAGAACCAACCCTATAAATTCTTCAAATATATAGATTTACAAAATCATCTAGAGGGGGTGACTGGGGCCAAAGAGAAGGCAAATTTATTAAATCCCTTCTTCAGCTCTGTGTATACAAAGGAGCTCTTGTCATAATGGGGGGTGGTACTGACACAGCTCCAGATGATCCACATTTGGCTCACAACTGATATGATCCAAAAATACTTAGACAGAATAAAGATGAATAAAGCCCCCTGGACCGGATGGCACACACCCACTCTTTAATGACTGGCATAGTAAACTGGATTGGCGTAAGGCCAATGTGGTGCCTATCTTTAAAAAATATTTAAAAAATATATAAATAAATTTAAAAAAAATGTATAGTTGGGAAGATACTGGAGAGTTTAATAACAGACCACATAGATGAGTTCTTGCTGGATAAAAATATTTTAAGCAACAGACAGCATGGAGTCATGAAAGACAGAAGTTGTCTAACTAATCTGATTTCTTTTTATGAGGAGGTGAGCAAAACCTTGGACAGGGGAGTGGCGGTGGACTGTGGTATACTTGGACAGAGGGGTGGCGGTGGACGTGGTATAAGTGACATCTTGTGGCTAAACTGCAGAATGTCAGTCAGAACATTTTTAATTTACTTCAATCAGTGTTCAAACAATAAAAGCTGTTTTTCCCCATCTCACAAATGCGGGGTCCGGGGAGAGCGGATATAGTGAATGCGGGGTCCGGGGAGAGCGGATATAGTGAATGCAGGTCGTCCGGGGAGAGCGGGATATAGTGAATGCAGGGGTCCGGGGGAGAGCGGATATAGGTGAATGCGGGGGTCTGGGGAGAGCAGATATATTGAATGCAGGGTCCGGGGAGAGCGGATATATTGAATGCAGGGTCCGGGGAGAGCAGATATAGTGAATGGGGGGACCAGGGAGAGCAGATATAGTGATACGGGGTCCGGGGAGAGCGGATATAACGAATGCGGGGTCCGGGGAGAGCGGATATAGCGAAGGCGGGGTCCGGGGAGAGCGGATATAGCGAAGGCGGGGTCCGGGGAGAGCGGGATATAGCGAAGGCGGGGTCCGGGGAGAGCGGATATAGTGAATGCGGGGTCCGGGGAGAGAGCGGATATAGCGACGGCGGGGTCCGGGGTGAGAGCGGATATAGCGAAGGCGGGGTCCGGGAGAGCGGATATAACGAATGCGGGGTCCGGGAGAGCGGATATAGCGAAGTGCTGGGGTCCGGGGAGAGCAGAGCGCGAGGGAGAGCGGATATAGTGAATGCGGGGTTCCGGGGGGAGCGGATATAGTGAATGCGGGGTCCGGGGGGGCAGATATAGTGAATGCGGGGTCCGGGGAGGTAGTGAATGCGGGTCCGGGGAGAGCGGATATAGTGATAGGGGTCCGGGGAGGAGCGGATATAGTGAATGCAGGGTCCCGGGGAGAGCGGATCCGGGGGGGAGAGTGGATATAGTGAATGCGGGGTCCGGGGAGAGCGGATATAGTGATTGCGGGGTGATGGTGAGAGCGGATATAGTGAATGTGGGGTTTCCGGGGAGAGCGGATATAGTGAATGGGGTTCCGTGGCAGAGCGGAGTGAGCGGGTGTCCGGGGAGAGCGGATATATGGATATGTCATCCGAAGGCCAAATATCCATTAATCAAAGTTCTCTGGTTCATGAGGGAGCCAATCAGAGGACATGGGGCCAGCGGGAGGGAGAAGAGAAGAGCTGGCTTTCAGCTGCTGCAGAGAGAGCCATACAGGGGATCAGTTCCAGTAACTGCCGCCCCCCGCCCCCCGCAGATCACCCTCCCTATCCACAACTGATTCACCCAGCTGCCTGCCTGGGCCCCCCTGCTGGCCTGGGCCCCGTACAGAAGGACTGGTGGTACCCACTTATCCACGGCCCTGACTATGAGTACTATGACCCTGGGCAGAGGAGAGACTGTAGGTAGATAACTGCTGAAGTGCTGCACATGCTTCCTTTGTGACTACTGCGGACCGTCCGCTAAATGTGACTGACTGGGTAATGCCAAGTGATTCCGGAATGTATGTCCTGTAATGTGACTGTAATTCGGCTTCCTGAATGCCATTAATAAAGTGCAGCAAACCTATTTTCTTGTGTGGACATTCCTTCCTTTGGGATATAAAGGTCTATGGCCTGGAATGTTGTGTGTGAGGCCTATGGCAGGGCACAACATGGCGGCGGGGTTCGGCCTCAGCTGGGGGGGGACAGTTTCTTGCAGGGCTGGAGCAGCCAACCACAAAGCCTCTCTTGCATGGGGCCCCCAGGGATCCCAGTTTAAAGCTTTGTTCAGATTTCACCCCCTTGGGAGACCCTCAGAGTAATCCAGCCGTACCTGACCTGAACCCCATGCTCCATCCAACCCACTACGGCCTCACTAGCAACAGATCCTATTGTCACCTCAATACAACTGCTTCAAGAGAAGATCCCGTGAGACGAGAGGGAGATCAGCAATCAGTCCACACACAAAGATATTCCTTATTACTTCATTACTGAACACCTTCAGGCCCGGTCTAGAGCAGATTGATGGGCGGGCGGGAGGCTCCTCCTTCTGAGTGGACGTCATATGGCGTCCTGTTAGAAGGTGCCGCTCACAACGGTCGGCGGGGGCAGGAAAGTGGCGTGATTTGTCACCGGCTGTTTCCAAGGGACACAGCCGATGACAGATCACTAAACTGACCCACTGCCAGTGTCATGTGACCAATCACAACAGATCACATGATAATTGTATACAATGGATGGCTTCCTATCATGCCATCCTTGTATACAATTGTGTTGTTAGCTGCGATTGGTCAGAGCGGTCACATGGTACAGACAGGGTCAATCACAGCCCATCTGTACCATGTGATGAGCTTTGCCCAATCACAGCTAATCACAACAAAAGACTGAATGAATCCGTTTCATTCAGTAACAATGGTTGCTAATATCAATGAAATACATCGGTATCAGCAATCCTAATATGTGGGAAAAATATCCTGATCCCTCCCCCAGAGTAGTACAATGTGACTAGCAAATGTTTTCCTTAATTACTGATGGTGATAGGACACGAGGCATTGCTTCTTTAACCACTTCAGGTCCAGACACTTCCCCCCCCTCCAGTCCGGACACTTTCCCCCCTTCCAGTCCGGACAATTTCCCCCCCCCCCCCCCTTCCAGTCCGGACACTTTCCCCCCCCCCTTCCAGTCCGGACACTTTCACCCCCCCCTTCCAGTCGGACACTTTCACCCCTTCCAGTCTGGGACACTTTCCCCCCCTTCTATTCTGGACACTTTCCCCCCCCTTCCAGTCCGGGCACTTCCCCCCCCCCCCTTCCTGTCCGGGGACACTTTCACCCCCCCCTTCCAGTCCGGACACTTTCACCCCCTTCCAGTCCAGGACACTTTCCCCCCCTTCCAGTCTGGACACTTTCCCCCCTTCCAGTCCGGACACTTTCTCCCCCCTTCCAGTCCCGGACACTTTCACCCCCTTCCTGTCCAGGCCAATTTTTGCGCGGTCATGCAACACTGTACACCCAGATGAAGTTTTTAGCATTTTTTTTAGACAGATAAAACTTTATTTTTTGGTGGTATTTATTCACCGCTGGGATTTTTATTTTTTTTTGCTATATAAATGAAAAAGTCCAAAAATTTGGAAAAAAAAGTGTTTTTCTTATACAATTTTGCAAATAAATAATATTTCTTCATAAATCTTGGCCCAAAATATATTCCGTTATCTTTTCAGTAAAAAAAAAATAATCCAAATTAGTTTATAATCAAAAAATTATAATTTAAAAAAAATAGTTTTTACATTTTTATTTAATTTTTGTATTATTATTTTAACATACTGTCACCCTAGCAGTACAATGTTACCATGGTGACACTGTACTACTTGTGGGGGGTGATGAAGATTTTTTTTTTTTTTTGCACTGATTGCTTTTACACCCATATAGGATGTAAAAGCAATCATTTCTCCTTCTCTCTGGCTGCATTCCTGCAGCCATTGAGAAATACTGTGTGAGCTGTGATTGGTCAAAGCTTGTCACATGGTACAAGGCTGTTGTGAATGGCCCTGTACCATGTGATCTCGGTGATCATTCACAGAATTCACACGTAGTAAGCAATGATGTCAGGAAGTGACATCTTATTTACTACTGTTCATGTGATCACTGATTGGCCAATCAGTGATCACATGATCGGGACCTCACACAGAGGTCCCGTACAGTGATTGGTGTTCTGCTGTGTCCTCCTACCTAGGGAGCGCACACAGGCAGGGAAGTGGGGAGGATGTTTATAAACGCCCCCCCGCCCCTGCACCGCTCCCGTCATTGTATTGGAGTAGACTCACCATCCTTGTGTGGAGGGAGTGGAGAGAGGAGCGGCACCTCTGCATCCATTCTTCTCCATCTTCATCCCCGGCTCTCTCTGTCAGGCGGCACATCCGGCTCCTCATGTCCCCGATCCCTGCTGACAGCTCCTCTATTATAGCCAGGGGTCTGCAGACCGGCTCAGAGCCAATCACGGAGCCCCTCTTTATACGGGTTAACACCCTTCTGGAAGGTTCCAAAAGGTCAGCTGACCCCAGGATAAAGGTCATGTGACCTTCCAGAATGTTCCCAGGGGTCAGCTGACTTCTCTTATCTCCGGGCGGATCACACCTGTGTCACCTGACAGGGGATGTTGCCGGGCAGATTTTCCACAGCTGGACCAGGTGTGATCTGACCTCCTGAGGAGAAAGCAGGGGAAGGGGGGCCTTGAAACTGCCCCTACCTCAGATGTCACAATCCATGATGCGCGGGGGGCCTGAAAACAGCCTCCCCCTTCCTTCCATTGTAGTGTCAGCCTGTGGTGCAGTAATAATACCGGCTCAGCACCTTCCTCAGTCCTTGTGCTGAAAATGTGAGGTAAAGTCTTCTCTGATACAGCTCTACATACGTGTGCGTGTGTCTTCCTGAACATGTCTGCCTGTTCCATCCATCTCAATGTGTTGGGCTGACAATGCTCTAATCCAGGGGTGGGCAACTGCGGCCCTCCAGCTGTTGTAGAACTACAAGTCCCATGAGGCATTGCACAAAACTGACAGTTACAAGCATGACCCCCAAAGGCAGATACATGATGGGACTTGTAGTTCACCAACAGCTGGAGGGCCACAGTTGCCCACCCCCGCTCTAATCCATAGAGGATTCCTTTCATGACATTCCAGGGCCACAGATCATTTTTGTTTCCTGGGGGGGTTCAGCTCTTCTCAAACTCTAAGGCATTGTTTACACTTGTGATGGGGGGGGGGGGGGGGTAAAAACGTGTGGCAGCAAAGTGGTGCCATTAAACTTTGCACTGCAAAAAAATGATCCCCCTGTAGAGTTCAGCGGGCCGTACCACCTGCTGAGCGCAATCCATTCAACTGAATAGGGGCCCCTACAAGAGTGATTGTGGCCCGCTAGTTCAGGGCAGGGGCGGACTGACCATTTGGAAACTGCCCGAGGGCCCGGGGTCAGTAGGGGGCCCCATGAGATGCCCCTGGTACCTTTTTCATAGGCTTTTTTGAGTTTGGGCAAGGACGCAGGGGCCCCATGATCCCCTATTGCCCGGGGGGCCCCATGAGTTGTCAGTCCGCCCCTGGTTCAGGGTTCAACCCCTTGGAGCCTCCCGGCCCTTTAAGGGTTTCAGAAGCCGGGAGGCGGGGTGAGGTTTAAGGTCATGTGACCTACGTGACACGCCGTCACGGCGGTCACATGATCGGGAAAGGTCCCGCATGAAAGAGGAGATCGGGCCCTTGCCGTGAGTACCGGACACGTGTGTTGGGAGGGGGCAGGGTGCGCGCTCTCGGCACGTATGCTCTTTTTTAATAGAACGCAAATGTGCGGCCGCTCAGCGTCTCGGCCCAGACTCCGGGAGGGGGGGGGGGGGTCGCACATTTGCGTTCAGCCGGCGTGAAGAGGTTAATGTGGTTGAAACTGGTGATGAAGAAGCAACACAGCCCCTCCTCTCTGCCTGCCAATTGTTCTCTGAACAGCAACCTGAATACAGATCCTCTTCAGAGGGCGACACGAGTGACAACCGGCCCTGACTGTTTATGTAGCTGAAATCCTGAGGTTTATCACCCCTTGCCTTCCGGGAACTTTCACCCCCTTGTGTGGGACACAGAGAGCTTTCTTTGGTGGTATTTAATCACCTCTGGGGGGGGGGGGGGGGGGGGGGGGGGGGGGTGATAAACAAACCAAAAACAGCTGAAAATTTTGAAAAAAAAAAAGTTTTTTTTCTTAGTTTCTGTTATAAAATTTTGTAAATGAGTAATTTTTCTCCTTCATTGATGTGCGCTAATGAGGCTGCAGTCATGGGCACTGACAGGCAGCACTCATATGGGCATTGACAGGCATCACTGATGGGCACTGAAAGGCAGCACTCATATGGCACTGATAGGCAGCACTGACTGGTACTGTTAGTTGATGGCACTGACGGGTACTGAAGTGGGCACTGACTGGAATTGAAAGTCCATGGCCGCTCAGATGAGCACTGATATGTGGCAGTGATATGCACTGGTAGGCACTGATATGTGGCAGTGATATGCACTGGTAGGCACTGATATGTGGCACTGATATGCACTGGTTACCCAGACTGATATTTGGCAGTGATATGCACTGGTAGGCACTGATATGTGGCATTGTGATATGCACTGGCAGGCACTGATATGTGGCAGTGATATGCACTGGTAGGCACTGATATGTGGCAGTGATATGCACTGGTAGGCACTGATATGTGGCAGTGATATGCACTGGTAGGCACTGATACGTGGCAGTGATATGTGAGATTTTGTCCAATGGCAGACATGCATCCCTACCTGCAGGTAACCAATGGATGTGCAGATACAGGCGGATACGTGTTTACAGCAACACACAGACTTGGCTCTGTTCAGCCCATCACCTAGGTGTACAGGCTGAGCAGCTGCCGATGAATGGAGCACCTGGGAACCCAGATGGAGGTATTTGCAGTGGCGTCCCGAGGCAGGTGCGGGGGGTTCGTGCCGCATTGGGTGACACCGACCGCACGGGGTGACACCGTTCCCACTCCACAAAAAAATAAGTTGTAAAGCAAGCCGACAATCCCCGCAGGATGGATTGGATCTGTAGATTGAACATAATGGATCGGAGTCTGATCCATTATGCTCCCCAATCCGCAGATCCAATCCATCCTGCGGGGATCGTCGGCATGCAACCTATACGGGGTTACACCGGCCCCGCTACACGAAAAGGTAAGTTGGAAAAAAAAAAAGCCGACGATCCCCGCAGGATGGATCGGATCTGCGGATTGGGGAGTATAATGGATCGGAGTCCGATCCATTATGCTCAATCCTCAGATCCATCCATCCTGAGGGGATCGTCGTCAGAGGGGGTGTCACTGTTACGGCACCGAGTGACACCAACCCTAGGGACGCCTCGGGGTATTTGCAGCACACTTGCAGCACCAGTCATTTAGGAGGTATGAATGAAATCCAAGACTGGATCTGAGCATCTTACTGTACATGGCTGTGTGTTGGTTGCAGCTGGTCAGCAAGGTCGGCTCTTATTCAGTGTAAATGTGCCAACTGAGCCGGCACAAATGGCATCATATTACGGCAGGCAGCGCTATCACTGATTTTATTTTACTTTTTAAAAATTGTGTATCATAAGGAATTTTCTGAAGTGCATTGCTTACCACAATAATGTGCTCTGTGCACCGGCTAGGACTGCATCTCATCCCTTTACCACCGAACACATATGAGTGACACCGGCTCTGTGGATGGTGAAGGTGCTCGTTGGACTCACTTAGTAACTTATCGGCATTAAATTAGCCACAAAAGCCGTGTAAATGATATGTGATCAGCAGGGGTGGACTGACCATTTGGAAACTTGGGCACTGCCTGAGGGCCCCATGAGTTGTCAGTTCGCCCCTGGTGTTCGGTTTTAAAGGGATGAGGTGGTGACCTTAGCAGCTGCTCAGGTGGTGTATTAGGACTAGATAATAGACAGCCTTACTGTGCAACCGGAGCATTGCAGAGGGCATTTCATTTTTTTATTAACCACTTCCCGTCCGGCCGCTGTATATAAACGGCCAGACGGTGGCAGTCCAGAGGCGGGTTGCCGTTCATAAACCACGCCCTCCATTTTGGACTGTGCACGCTCCCTGGGAGCGCACAGCACCGCGATCCGGTGCCTGCTGTGTCCAGAGGAACACCGATCGTCATACGGGACCTCCGTGTGAGGACCCGATCATGTGATCACTGATTGGCCAATCAGTGATCACACGCAGAGTAGTAAGCAAGATGTTACTTCTGACATCATTGCTTACTACATGTGAAATCTGTGAATGATCACAGAGATCCCATGGTACAGGGCTATTCACAACAGCCTTGTACCATGTGACAAGCTGTGACCAATCACAGCTCACACAGTATTTCTCAATGGCTGCAAGAATGCAGAGAAGGAGAAATGATTGCTTTTACATCCTATATGGGTGTAAAAGCAATCAGTGTACAAAAAAAAATAAATCTTCATCACCCCCCACAAGTAGTACAGTGTCACCATGGTGGCACTGTACTGCTAGGGTGACAGGTATGTAAAAAAACAAAAAATAAATAAATAATAATATAAAAAAAATTAAATAAAAATGTAAAAAAAAAATTTTTTTAAATTATAATTTTTGGTTATAAACCAATTTGGGTTATTTTTTTTTTTTTTACTAAAAAGATAACGGAATACATTTTGGCCGAGATTTATGATGAAATATTATTTATTTGCAAAATTTTTATAAGAAAAACACTTTTTTTTTTTTTTTTTAAATTTTTGGACATTTTCATTTATATAGCAAAAAAAAATAAAAAAAATCCCATTGGTGAATAAATACCACCAAAATAAAGTTTTATCTGTCTCAAAAAAATGATAAAAAATTCATATGGATACAGTGCTGCATGACCGCGCAATTGTCATTCAAAGTGTGATAGCGCTGAAAGCTGAAAATTGGCCTCGACTGGAAGGGGGGGAAAGTGTCCGGACTGGAAGGGGGGGTGAAAGTGTCCAGACTGGAAGGGGGTGAAAGTGTCCGGACTGGAAGGGGGGGAAAGTGTCCAGACTGGAAGGGGGTGAAAGTGTCCAGACTGGAAGGGGGTGAGAATATTGTGAAAGGTGGAATATTCTCGGCTCAAAGTGTCCCACTCTAATCAGCTCATTCAGCCATAACACCTGCAAAGGGTTTCTGAGCCTTTAAATGGTCTCTCAGTCTGGTTCAGTAGCAATCACAATCATGGGAAAGACTGCTGACCTGACACCATCACTGACACCCTCCATAAGGAGGGAAAGCCTCAAAATGTAATTGCAAAAGAAGTTGGATGTTTCCAAAGTGCCGTATCAAAGCACATTAATAGAAAGTTATGTGGAAGGGAAAAGTGTGGAAGAAAAAGGTGCACAAGCAGCAGGGATGACCGCAGCCTGGAGAGGATTGTCAGGAAAAGGCCATTCAAAAGTGTTGGGGACTTTCGCAAGGAGTGGACTGAGGCTGGAGTCAGTGCATCAAGAGCCACCACACACAGACAGATCCTGGACATGGGCTTCAAATGTCATATTCCTCTTGTCAAGCCGCTCCTGAACAACAAACAATGTCAGAAGCGTCTTACCTGGGCTAAAGAAAAACAGACCTGGTCTGTTGCTCAGTGGTCCAAAGTCCTCTTTTCTGATGAGAGCAACTTTTGCATCTCATTTGGAAACCAAGGACCCCGAGTATGGAGGAAGAATGGAGAGGCCCAAGGACCCCGAGTATGGAGGAAGAATGGAGAGGCCCAAGGACCCCGAGTATGGAGGAAGAATGGAGAGGCACAAGGACCCTGAGTATGGAGGAAGAATGCAGAGGCACAAGGACCCTGAGTATGGAGGAAGAATGGAGAGGCACAAGGACCCCGAATATGGAGGAAGAATGGAGAGGCCCAAGGACCCCGAGTATGGAGGAAGAATGGAGAGGCACAAGGACCACGAGTATGGAGGAAGAATGGAGAGGCACAAGGACCCCGAGTATGGAGGAAGAATGGAGAGGCACAAGGACCCCGAGTATGGAGGAAGAATGGAGAGGCCCAAGGACCCCGAGTATGGAGGAAGAATGGAGAGGCACAAGGGCCCCGAGTATGGAGGAAGAATGGAGAGGCCCAAGGACCCCGAGTATGGAGGAAGAATGGAGAGGCACAAGGGCCCGGAGTATGGAGGAAGAATGGAGAGGCCCAAGGACCCCGAGTATGGAGGAAGAATGGAGAGGCACAAGGCCCCCGAGTATGGAGGAAGAATGGAGAGGCCCAAGGACCCCGAGTATGGAGGAAGAATGGAGAGGCACAAGGACCCTGAGTATGGAGGAAGAATGGAGAGGCACAAGGACCCCGAGTATGGAGGAAGAATGGAGAGGCCCAAGGACCCCGAGTATGGAGGAAGAATGGAGAGGCCCAAGGACCCCGAGTATGGAGGAAGAAAGAATGGAGAGGCACAAGGACCCCAAGTATGGAGGAAGAATGGAGAGGCACAAGGACCCCGAGTATGGAGGAAGAATGGAGAGGCACACACTGCAAGATGCTTGAAGTCCAGTGTGAATTTTCCACAGTCTGTGTTGATTTGGGGAGCCATGTCATCTGCTGGTGTTGGCCCACTGTGCTTCATTAAGTCCAGGGTCACCGCAGCCATCTACCAGGAGATTTTGGAGCACTTCATGCTTCCTTCCGCAGACCAGCTTTATGGGGATGCTGACTTCATTTTCCAGCAGGACTTGGCATCTCCCACACTGCCAAAAGCACCAAAACCTGGTTCAATGACCGTGGGATTACTGTGCTTGATTGGCCAGCAAACTCGCCTGACCTGAACCCCATAAAGAACCTATGGGGCATTGCCAAGAGAAAGATGAGAGACATGAGACCGAACAATGCAGAAGAGCTGAAGGCCGCTATTGAAGCATCCTGGTCTTCCATAACACCTCAGCAGTGCCACAGGCTGATAGCTTCCATACCACGCCGCATTGAGGCAGTAATTGCTGCAAAAGGGGCCCAAACCAAGTACTGAGTACATATGCAGCTTCTACTTTTCAGAGGTCCCATATTGTTCTATGTACAATCCGTGTTTTATTGATTGCATGGAATATTCTCATTTTCTGAGATTGTGGATTTGGGGTTTTCATGAGCTGTAAGCCATAATCATCACAATGATGACAAATCACGGCTTGAACTATCTTGCTTTGCATGGAATGAGTCTCATATATTAGTGTCACCTTTTAAGTTGCTGCACTGAAATAAATGAACTTTTGCACAATATTCTCATTTTTTTTTTATCGAGTTTCACCTGTAGAATACAAAGATCAGGCTTAACTAACCACTTGCCCTTCAGAAGATTTACCCCCTTCCTGACCAGGCCATTTTTTGCTATTCAGCACTGTGTTACTTTAACTGAATTGCACGGTCATGCAAATCTGTACCCAAACAAAATTTATATCCTTTTTTTCAAACAAATACAGCTTTCTTTTGGAGTTTTTTTTTTTATCAACACTGGGTTTACACCCATAAAGGCTGTAAAAGCAATCATTTCTCCTTCTCTCTGTCTGCATTCTTGCAGCCATTGAGAAATACTGTGAGAGCTGTGATTGGTCACAGCTTGTCACATGGTACAAGGCTGTTTTTAATAGCCCTGTACCATGAGATCTCTGTGATCATTCACAGATTTCACTAGTAGTAAGTAATGATGTCAGAAGTGACATTTTGCTTACTACTCTTCATGTGATCACTGATTGGCCAATCAGCGATCACATGATTGGGACCTCACACAGAGGTCCCATACAGCGATCGGTGTCTGGTCCCAGGGGCACCGGATAGCGGTGCCACACGTTCCCAGGGAGCGCACACAACCTGAATATGCGGGCGCTGTTTATGTAATGGGCCGGACAGGAAGAGGTTAATATACCCTACATACGTGACTCACTTCCTAAATACTTAATGGGTGTAAAAGCAATCAGTGTAAAAAAAAAAAAAAATCTTCATCACCCCCCACAAGTAGTACAGTGTCACTGTACTGCTAAGGTGACAGTATGTAAAAAAAAACATATAAATAATAATATAAAAAAATAAAATATAAATGTAAAAAAAATGTAAATTATCATTTTTGGTTATAAACTAATTTGGTTTTTTTTTTTTTTTTTTTTACTAAAAAGATAACCGAATAATGTTTTGCCAAGATTTATAAAGAAAGATTATTTATTTGCAAAAATTTATAAGAAAAATACTTTTTAAAAAATGTTTTGGACTTTTTTTTTTTAATTATTCATTTATATAGCAAAAAAAAAAAAAATCCCAGTATCTGTCTCAAAAAAATTCTAAAAAATTTAATACGGGTACAGTGTTGCATGACCACGCAATTGTCATTCAAAGGGTGATAGCACTGAAAGTTGAAAAAAAAATATTTTTTTTTTTTATATTCTTCAGATTTTTTTAACATATAAAAAAGTTATTTTAACATATTTTTACATATATACAGGTGTACCTCGATTTAAGAACGCCTCTGTTAACGTCATTTTTGGTTTACGAATGAAAATTCATTGAAAATAAAGCCTCGGTTTACAAATGTTTTATGAATTGTTTTCACAATACGAAGTGTCTGTTGGTGCCGATTTTTAAATGCAATTGCCAGATTTTTTTTTCTTCACTATAGCTGTCCTGGAGCTAAAGGAAACTTTTTTCTTTTAACTTGGGGAAATAAACTGAAAGGAAACTTTCTTTCTTTTAGTTGGGGGGAAAGTGACAGCTGATTCTCTGAGCTATTAGTGAAGATAAAAAAAAGCCGGTAATTACATTTAAAAACCGGCACTGACCTATAGTGACAGCGACTTTTTAAAAACTTCTTTTTGACCCCCGGAACGGATTAATTGGTTTTCAGTGCATTCCTATGGGAAACCAAATATCAATTTACAAATTTTTCGCAATACGAAACGTCCTGGAGAACGCATTAAATTCGTAAATTGAGGTACACCTGTATTTGTAAATGCATTCCAAAAATGGAGATTAAATGCATTTTTAAAGACATACAGTATATTTGAAAATGTATTTTTAAAAAAATATTTTTCATATATTTTGTAATATATAAAAAGACGCATTTCAACATACAGTGTATATGTATATATATATATATATTTTTTAAATATATTGAATACGATCAAAATTGTAGTATTTCAAATATATGTCAATATATTTGGGAAGAATATTTTTAAAATATATTTTAAAATATATTTTTCATCCATATGGGTAGTGCGGGTGATTTGGTGTATTTTATATGTATGCAAATGCGCATGTAGATCCCTCACTCATGTAAATGGTGATCTCAGAACACATGTGAAGTATCGCCACGAAAGTCAGAGCGAGAGCAGTAATTCTAGCACCAGGCCTCCTGTGTAACTCCAAACTGGTAACCTGTAAAGTTTAAAGGCTTTTAAAGAGATGCCTAAGGAGATTTTTAGGTACTGTAGTCTGGTGCTGTTCCACGGGCGAACACAATTTTAGATCACAAAGTGTGCCATGTTAGGTATCTAGTTACTCGGCGTAACACCATCTTTTTATGTTTTACCAAAAAAGGGTATTATATTGTGCTCACTAAAAGGTATTCAAGTGTATTTTGGCCTGAAAATGTGTATTTGATAAACTGCTGAACAAATATCGTGCCACATAAAAAAAATTGCACCATTTTATTCTCCAAAGTCACTGCTTAAAAAACAATATACATAATATTTGGGGATTCTAAGTCATTTTCTAAAAATTAAAAAAAATGGTGATTTTCTACTTGTAGGAGAGAAATGTCAGAATTGGCCTGGAGTGGAACTGGTTACACTGACAGTAGGAAGGCGCGTGCCAAACCTTGACAGACATACCTCAGGTGAGTGAACTGTAACAGAAGACGGAAAATTCTTGAAGTGAGAGTTGTTAGAAGTCGTTTTTTTCTCACTTTGCTATTTAGAGCTTGAGAAGAATGTGACAATCTTCTGAGGCTGAGCTATGAGCCTCCATTCACACCAAATGAGTACTTATAGAAGCACACATACAGCTATTTTTGTGCTTTTTTTTTCATGCATTTTCATATGTATTTTTGAAGGACATTGTACTGTAGGTTTTATTATACTTGTTCACACATTCCACTGAAGGCTGCGGGACCAAAACTTTCTTGTACTTTTTCAAGCTTCGGGCAACTGATCATAAAAATGTAAACAATCTGCTCTGCCAGAACAAGTGCAGGAATGCTCAGCTTGGGGGTTATAGATTTCTTCTTTGTACTCATTTTAAAGTTAGTTTAGTGTTGGCTAAGAATATGTAAAGATTTGAATGTCCATAGTCTAGGAATGGGTGCGCTTGGAGGTCTCATTCACACACAAAGCAATACTAAAAGTTCTTTTTTTTTTGTAAAATAACAAACATGTCTATACTTACCTGCTGTGTGCATTGTTTTTACACAGAGCAGCCTTTATCCTCCTCTTTTCGGGTCCCCCGCAGGCTCTCCTGGCTCTACCTTTCTGTCGGGTGCCCCACAGCTAGAAGCTTGCTATGGGGGCACCCACTGCTCCATATGTCCATTCATGCACAGAGCCATGGCTTGGCCTCGCCCGCTCTCTCTCTTTGTTGGCTCACTGGCTCTGATTGACAGCGACAAGAGTCAATTGCTCCCACTGCTGTATCAGCCAATGGGGATAGGGATAGGATAGGGATAGGGAGTCTCAGGATAACCGAGACTCCAGTGCACATCGCTGGATCAAGACAGGTCTTAGGTGAGTATTGGGGGTGGGGGGGATGCTGCACACATAAGGTGTTTTACCTTTATGCAAAGAAACACATGAAGGTAAAAAATCCTTCAGCCTTTACACCTGATTTAAGGGTACACTCATGCACGGGCCGTTTTGGCTGCACAGGATGAATGGGTGTTCTGTGCATCCCATGGGCAAGTGAGTCCCATTCATGTTTATTGGGATGCAATGCGATCTTCTAATTCATCCCCTTCATGCCGATGTCACACAAATATGCGGCCTCACAGAACTGGGGTTTTTTACCGTGGGGCCGCATATTTGTGTACCTGTCGTTGTGCTGGGAGCTCGCCGCACAGTGCACTCCCAGCACAAAGACCAGAGTCACTGATTCCGGGTCACATGATCGCTGTGATAGCCTCTGATTGGCTATCACAGTGATCAGTCACTGTACAGCCCAGCCCCTTGTTTTTTTCTTCTCTCTCTATGAACGGAGGAGAGAGATACATTGTATTTCTTTAACTCCTGGCATAGAGGAAAAAAAAAAAGAGATAAATAAATAAATTAAATATTAAAAAATAAAATAAAAAATAAAGAAAAAAATACCTAGATTAAGGTTTGATCTAGTTCAGTGCCAGGATAAGTATTTGGGTCAAGGTCAGGATTTTTTTTTTTTAAATTGGTATCAGTGTCCGTGTGTTTTAGGTAAAAAAAAAAAAAAAATGTGCACTATTGTTTCTGGGCTGTACTGAGGGTACAAACAATAAATAACATCCACATATATGGTATCGCTGCAATCGTCAAGAGCTGGAAAATGTATTTTGGGTTTTTCTTTGATGTTAGGTTATGGTAGTAACAAGAAACACACAGCTAAATTAAACATTTTTTTTAATTATTTTGGGCCAGTTTTCCTTTGATAATAAAAATAATCAGGATGATATCCATTACCATTTACCACCAAATGAAAGCCCAATTTGTCCTGAAAAAAAACACGGTATAATCCACCCGGATGTACGAAGTAGTTGTGATGAAATGTACGGTTTTACTAACACATGTCAATGTTGCAAAATTATGCTTAGGCATTAAGATTTGTTTTACCCTTAGACATGAAGGGGTTAATGTGACGGGAGTGACTTTTGGGGGTGGGGGGACCTCTGTATCATCTCCCCAAATCATTATGTTTAACCCACCCTGTGCCTGTTTAAGGGTACAGGGTGTACATGTGAATGTCCCAGTATTGTGCATTTGTGTGTTGTCCTTTGTCTAGGCCACATGGCTGTCTATTGTTTGTTTGCCATGTGCTACCCCCCATTGTGCTGTGTCTTCCTGTCCAGCCAACTATTATGGGATGTACTGTTTGTGTATTGGTGTGGGGGTTGGTCAATGTCCTTTGCCATGTGTTTCATCCCATTGTTCTGTGTCTTGGGTTGGTTGGGGTGGTTCCCTGTAGCCCTTCCCACTGATAGGGCGGGCTGATGATGTATTTCCTGTTCCTGGTTGTGTTTCCCCGCCCTCTGTATATATTCTGTGTTTTGTGTTAAAATAAAGAGTTGGCTTTCTGTTTAAGAAGAGCTGGGTGCTGTCTATTTCCCGAGGGATTTCAAGGGTGTGGTCCGTGGATGGTGTTCGGACAGGGGAAGCTGCGGTATAATGGAATATACCCAAGTGCGGTCGGGTACCGGTTCCGTTACAGTTAACATCCGAGCGACTGCGGATGAGTGTCCCCAAATGCAGACGGTGTGAATCTGGGGACACGACCAGCACCCACATGGATGTCAAATTGGGAACAGCTGCTGTGTCTATGCAGCCACTGCATCCAAATAGACATGAAGGAGACTGGATGCATGGACCAACTGTGCCACGGTCTGGGGTCAGACTCAGAGACCAGTGGTTGTAGCAGTAGAGAGATTCACATGTAGTCAGCTGGAAATGCACAAGCAGATCCCTCTAGCGCAAGGGTGCTCAACCTGTGGCCCATGGCCCTTGAGATCCAACCAGGGAAGGGCACACCCCAGGAGGGGGTGGTTGACAACCCATTGACCACGATCTGGGCTTGCTGACCCAGCATCCTAGAGAATCAGAGTGTATCGTGCCGGCAGCAGAGGAAGTAGGCAGCCACAAAAAGAGCAGGAGCCACATAAGCTGATGCTTCCTCTGTAGAGCTCAACCTGTGGCCCATGGCCCTTGAGATCCAACCAGGGAAGGGCACACCCCAGGAGGGGGTGGTTGACAACCCATTGACCACGATCTGGGCTTGCTGACCCAGCATCCTAGAGAATCAGAGTGTATCGTGCCGGCAGCAGAGGAAGTAGGCAGCCACAAAAAGAGCAGGAGCCACATAAGCTGATGCTTCCTCTGTAGAGCTGGCTCCTGTCCCCGGTGGACTGATACCAACTGCACTTCGCCTGGGTCCTTTCCAGCATGGGGGTCCAGTAGCAGATATAGCAGGTAGGGCTCAAGCAGCAGCATTGTCAGTATACAAGCCAACAAGTAGTAGCTGGATGGGATCAGATGAAAGTGTAGCCAATGAACAAACCAAGGGTCAATAACAAGTGGTAGGAAAGATAAGGACAGCAACAGGTACACAAGGAGCAAGATATTGGCTGGAGAGAGCACAATAATCTGGCAAACAGGATGTGCAAAGGCATGGCTTCAATAGGAAGTTCATGGGAGAAGCAAAGGATTCAAGGTTCAAGAGAAACAAGAGGCAGGAAGCAGCATCCCTGGTGGCACAGCGAGAAGAGCCAAAGACAGACACCACAGAGGTCACAGGTTCTCAGAGCCAGGTCCTGGCAGCCTGTGCATCCTGTGTGGGCAAACATGATCCTTGCACAGGCATATGCCCATGTGAACAAGGTCTACGTTTCCAGGTCCTGCCATTCACATTCCTGATATTTCCACCTGTTTCCTTTTTTCAGGTTATGGACAGTTATTTGAACAGCAAAATCATTGGTATGCATTGTAAAAAATGTTGTTTAACAGAAATTGAAAAGTTGGACCTGTAGGTCTGGTATGGATTTTTAACAGAAACCCACAAAATGTTTAAAAAAAAATACCTTGGGGTCCTGGCTTGCTGGGCTGTATGCTTGAATAAGGCTCTGGTATGGATTTTGGGGGGGGGGGGGGGGTGGACCCCATGCCATTTTGTAAAGAATGTTGGCATGGGGTTCCCCTTAAAATACATACCAGACCCAAAGGTCTGGTATGCATTTTGATGGAGGGAGGTTGCATGGTGTCCTCCTCAAAATCCACACCAGACCCTTATCTGGACTCACTGGGAACAAGCATTCTTGTAATATAAACTGCCAGGACTGGAACAACCTTAGCAAGGTTTGCTGAGCCTTTAGGTCAACTGAAAGGATGAGCTGCAACTAATTGTGTCCCAACAAGAAAAGTTGGGACCTCATTTATTAAATGTGTCTTCACAAACTGTTGGCGTTACCCAAAAAGCACTGATGAGATTTAAAGCATTCTTCTAGTCACCTAAATGTTGCATGAACTCCAATGCTATGCCAAAGATGACAGCTCCAGCTGTTATACTGAGTGCACCAGAAACCCCCAAACCTGAAGTCCAAATGTTAACCATCTCCTATGACTGACTGCCTGATCCGCCTCCTTTACCTAAATATTCACAAGTGAAGCTACCCTGTACATTAATGGGTCAGTAGTGAGTCTATGGAGGAGGTACGTCAGGTTCCCCAAAACGATCTTCACCACATGGCCATGGATTGGGATTAATCCCGAAAACACTTCCAGAATCACAAGAGCACCCAAAATATTTATCATTCACCAAACACAGCCCACTGCTACATATCAACACTGACTGGAAGCTTTAGTCATTTTTCATAAATCCTAATGTGAATTCTTTGGAGCCCATCAACAGAGGCTGGTTGGTAATCAGAAAGCGTAGGCAGTTCAACCGGTGGATGGTGATTCCGCCTGCTGCAGCTGACACCTACAGTACACCACCAAACTCCCAAAGGTGTTCCAAAACATCCAATTAGCAAAAGGAAATCCATCACCTTCAAATATATACTCCATAACTAGTCCAGATTACTCAAAATAATTCTGCAGCACGCGTAAACATTTTGTATGGAGCAGCCTCTGTCTGTAATAATAAACTGTGTTTTAGAGGCTGATTGGTGATAATAATGTAAAGTACCGAGAGGAACTCCTGTACTTTTGAAAAAGAACTCCAAGGCAACTTGGCTGTTTTGAGTCTCCAATACATAAAGGTCATATGCAGAACTGCTATAGAAAAACGTGCCACACTCAGCAGGAAGCAGGTTTTCATGATATCACCCACTGTAACTGCATATCCTATCCAAGTGAAGGGACGCTGCTCAACCGACCCCAAGAGTCCAATGTTGAGGAATGGCCTGGTCACATCATTTGACGCGTTTCCATCTCCACCAGGGCTTGGTCACAGAGGTGACCAAGCCCCCGTGGGTGAGGTGAAACGTGTCAGAGGGCGTGGCAAGCATGCTGGCTGAGTCCATTCCTCAACATTGGACTCCTGGGATTGGTTGAGTAGCATCCATCCCTTCACTTGTACTGGCTGACACTGGAATCGCTCAGACTTATGCTCCCCTCTTCTCACTTGCCGGTGAGGTGAGATCTTTACCCTTCTATCTATAGCTTGGAGCGGTGCCATAAGGTATACTTTTCATATCCTATCCGGTGTTGATGTTTTTGCAGGGTGTTGGTGGCACTTCTGCTACCTTCTGTCTCATCCATTTAAACTGGTTGTAAAGACTCAAGGTTATTTACCTTCATGAGTTCTATGCATGATGGTAAAGAAAACCTTCTGTGTGCAGCATTCTCCCCAGCCTCCCCAATACTCACCTAACTGTCAAGGTCCTACCTTTTCCCAGAGATTGTGCGGCTCCATGTGCTGGCGTCCATCTTGGGTTTCTGCAGAGCATGGTGGGAGTCTTTTATGCCTTCAGGTCTCTGAGGTCCATCCCCCAGAGGGGTGTGGCTGAGCACATATAAGCCTGTGATCCGCACATGCTCTTTGCACTTGTGTCTTGTGTCTTTGTGTAGCTACAGCTCTGTTCATACTCTCGTGACTCTTCTGGAATCTGACTCGGCTTGTGACTAACCATTCTCTGTGTTTTCCTTTGATCTGACCCTCCGTTGCTGATCCCAGCCCGTGACTGTGATTCTCGTCTACTGTTCTGTACCGTTTTGTCCCGTTGTTGTCGACCCGGCCTGCCTTACTACACTATTGTCATTCCTACCAGCTACACGCCATTGGCGGCGGCCATTACCGCAGCCGGGGTGTCTCGGGGCCGCGACCTGGTTTCTGGCTGCGTCAAGTCCATCCCCACCATCAGGGGCCCTGGTGAAGAGCAGCCTGGGACTTAGACTCCGTGCCCTGAGGGACTTCGGTCTGTTGGTGGTAGTTGTCGTCAGTCAGTGCATTACCCTGCCACTAGGCCTACCTGTCCGTTCCACAGCCCTGCTCTGACATTACACAAGTGCCATGAATCCTGACGGTGCAGGTACGTCTTCGCTTCCAATGTTGGTCGCCAGACTGGATCAACAGGATCTCCTGTTGGTTCAGTTCGCTCAGGCGTTGCAAACTCTGCTTGCACGCACCGCGCACCTTACTCCTGGGTGCTATTAGGCCGGTTGTCACTCCGGTGGTCGCTCCCGCTGCTGTTCCGCTTGTTGAGCCTACCGCTGTGGCTGCTGCGGCACCCGCGGCGCCCAGAGGTATGACTGGTTCAGCCCCTCTTCCACAGTGCTTTGGGGGTGAGCCGAGTCAGTGTCGTGGGTTCCTCAACCAGGTGGGGATTTATTTTGAATTAATACCCCCCGCTTTTCCGACTGAGAGGTCTAAGGTGGGTTTCCTAATATCGCTACTCTCAGACAAGGCCTTGGCCTGGGCAAATCCCTTATGGGAGAGGAATGACCAGGTGATTCACGAGTTTTCCGGTTTTGTCGACGCCTTCCATAGGGTATTCGACGTACCGGCTCGCTCCGCCTCGGCTGCCAAGCTGCTCATGTCCATGCATCAGGGTTCACGGACCGTTGCCGAGTATGCCATAGAGTTTCGTACCCTGGCGGCAGAGGTGGGTTGGAACAATGAGGCCCTGGTGGCTGCGTTTTCT